TGATTTTGCTTACTTAATATAGAATTAATTAATAGACTTAATAAGGCTAGTCCTGAAGCGGTTTCATTGAATTCCTTAAGGTTCTAGTGGTAGTCCTGCTTGGCTTCCTAATATAGCAGATAGTCTGATTTATTTAAGTCAATTATTAAATTTACTAATGATTTTATCTGTTTTATACTAATAGCACTAGGCCGGATTGGATAGACAGACTCGGTTGGTAGTTCTGGGTTCACTAATTCCTATATCCCTTTGTTAATTGTAAATAGTCGAATTTGATTAATCCATAGAATCCAGTCATATAACTGATTCAATTGTAGGATTCTATCAGATTACTAAATAATCTGATTGTTCATATTGAATAACTGACTGTAGTTGATTTAATTAATAGAGGGATTGAATAAATCAAAATAAGAGGTCTTCTGGGCTTATAACTGTTAAAGTTTCAGTTCTTTTCAAATAGAATTAATTAGAGCTTTATTTAACTTTTACTTTTCTATACAAACTGAGTATAGAAGTAAAGTCAAAGCAAGGTCAAAGTCAAAGATAATTAAAATTAAAAGAATCAAAGATAGAATAAATAAGAAAATAAACAAGCCACTGATTTCAATATATATCTGATCAACTGGTTCAGGATGATTCTGGATAATCCTTAGAAAATCATTAAATAAATCAGGCTATTTAAGCCAAAATCCTTTGTTTATTAATTTCCTAATTAGGAAATCAAAACATTCAGAATACAGGGGTAAGAATCCAGGGTGAGAATGCAGGGGTAAATTAGCCAGGGATAGATTGGGCTGGAACAATGGTTCAAATGGCTCAATCCAGGAAATAGGGCTAGGGTTTGGTAGTCAGGTGAGCTGCCAGTCTGACAATAATAATATCTAGATAGTCTAAATTCTGACTAGTCCTATCTTCCCTTTTTAGACTAGTCTAAAGTATATAGATATTGTAAATTACTTACTTAGATAGAAAGCTCTAAATAAGATTATTAATATTTATTAGATTTCAACTAATAAAATAAAAGCTGATAGTCTAACTAAGTAGTTTAGAGATTAGAAATACTAGTAATTTATTAATCAACTTAATATAGTAAGAACTTGATTATTTATCTTTTTTCTATTTTAGTAGTATATTTATCTGTCTATTTATTCTAATTTTAATAGAACTACTAAGTTCTATAAAACTATAGGGGTATATCAGACTAGTAGCTCACCTAACTACCAAACCCTAGCCCTAATTCCTGGATTAAGCTATTTAAACTATTGTTCCAGTCTAATCTATTTCTAGCTAATTTACCCCTGTATTCTTACCCTGGATTCTCACCCCTGTATTCTGAATGTTTTGATTTCCTAATTAGGAAATTAATAAACAGAGGATTTTGACTTAAATAGTCTAATTTATTTAATAATTTCCTGAGAATCATTCCAAATTATTCTGAACCAGTTGACCAGATATATATTAAAATCAGTGGCTTGTTTATTTCCTTATTCATTCTATCTTTGATTCTTTTGATTTTAATTATCTTTAACTTTGACCTTGCTTTGACTTCACTTCTATACTCAGTTTGTATAGAAAAGTGAAAGTTAAATAAAGCCCTAATTAATTCTATTTGAAAAGGACTGAAACTCCAACAAATAACTAAGTATATCTATAATTATATAAGAAGTATATTATACTGTCTAACTCTATTATTAAGTAGAAATTTAATTAGTAGTATACTAGATCTTTTGCTATTCTTAAGAAGGTTAGATAAGAAGTATACTATCTAGATCTATCTATATCTTAGTCTATATATCTAGTTATATTAGTAGTTTAGTTTAAATCTGTTTATTATATTAATGACTCTGATATATATAATTATATACTTCCTAAGCTATCTAAGGTAATTAATAAGAAGTTTCTAGATAAGAATAATTACTAGGAAGTAGAGACTATACTTAGTAAATATATAATATTCTATAGTTAATATAGAACTCTAATTATTTAATATCTTATATAATAGAAAGGTTATAGAGCTGAAGATAATATATAGATATAATTATCTAATATTAATATATCTAATCTTATTAGTATATTTAAGAATTACTATAACTAAGATATTTATATTCTATTATTTCTTTTTCTACTACTATTTATTCTTTTCTACTATATTAAGATTATTTATTCTGAATATCTTTTATTATTATTTCTTATATTATAGATATAGTAATCTCTAAGAATATTAATCTTATATAACCAGTGTCTATAGCAGTCAAGCCTGGCAGTTAAGCCTGCTGATATTCTACTGGTGGTTATGACGCTGCCTATCATACTGCCTAGACAGGATTCTTCCCTGCCGGCAATCACCAAGACTTAGTGAGAAATCAACAATATTAAGATCATCATAATGAATCATGACAATAATGTCTTTAACAGATTCTATAATTTAGAGAAATTATATAATTATATAGAATTCTTAGAGAATCTAATTCTTAATAATATATCTTCTATTTCTAAAGATTTACTATTTATCTTACTATCTATAGTTCTTATTAATAATTCTACTATTAATTAAAAAGCTTTTAATAAGATTAATCTTCTTAATATAGAATTAATTAGAGAATTGAAAAGATAAAGATCTAAATTATTTAATCTAAATTATCTTTAAAAGAGACTAGTTCTCTAAGCTATTTAAATAATAGTTAACTATATTAATAAGAAGAAAATCTCTACTATTAATAAATTCCAGTCTCTACTATTATTTATTAATTAGAAAGAATTAATAAGTTATCTCTACTTATCTTAATTTATTAAAGTTTTAAAGATAGAATTTAATTAATTAGATATCTTAGATACCTAAATTATATATTTAATATATAATATAAAGAATAAGAAAGTTCTACTATTAAAATAGATATAAATCTATAAATTTAATAAAAAAAATTATCTAACTAGATTTAAGATCTAAATATATATATAAAGAGACTTATAGATCTTTGTTTAGTTGGAAATCTATACTAGTATATCTATAGCTAGATCTCTTAGGATTATCTTAGCTCTAATTACTATATTTAATCTAGATATATACTAATTAAATACTATTACTATTTTTTTAATAGTTTTATTAAGAAAAAGATCTATATAGATTCTTTTTCTAGATTAGAAAATAAATAAATAATTTATCTATTATAAAAGATTCTATATAGTCTAAGATAATTATCTCTTCTTAAATAAAAGATTCTTAGAGTAAAGCTTAAAGCTCTAGGACTTAGTTTTATTAAAGAAAATTAATATATCTATATTAATAATTATCTAATTTTATTAATATTTATAGATAATATAATCTATATATTCTATTAATTAAATTATAAGAAGTTTAATAAATTTAAGAGAAAATTAATAATATTATTTAATATAAAGTATCTTAATAAATTTATATTATTTTTAAATATCTAGATATTATATAATTATCTAAACTAGAAGCTATAAATTAAGTAATTAATCTATATTAATAAAATTATTAATAAATTTGATCTAGAGTATCTCTAAAGCCCTAAGTCTCTACTTTTAAATAAGAAATTAATTAAGAATCTACTTTTTAAAGTTTTAACTAATTAGATTTAAAAATTTTAGTAAAAAGTAGAGTTAGTTTTATATTCTATAGTATAGACTAGACCTAATATAAAAACAAAATTCTATTAACTATTTATAGAATATTTAACTAATCTAAGTTCTAAATATCTTAGGGTAGTAAACTACTTAATCTTCTATTTAGAAGAAATAAAGAATCTAGTTATTAAATATAGTTCTAGTTCTAATTAAATAGTTTTCTATATAACTAGTAATATTAGCTTTAGTAATAATTTAAATTATACTAGCTTAATGGAGTATATTATTTACTTATTTAATAGTTCTATTAACTAATTAAGTAAGAAATAATATTATATAATTCTTTCTACTACTAAGATTAAGCTATTAGTCTTAACTACTATAACTAAGTAATTACTTTAGTAGAGATGATTTTTAAATTAAATTAAGTTTAATTCTAAATACTGTCTTTTTATATTATATAATAATATTTAGATAATCTAAATACTAACTAGTTCTATCTTCTCTTTTTAGACTAGTTTAAAATATATAAATATTATAAATTACTAGCTTAGATAGAAAGTTCTAAATAAGACTATTAATATTTATTAGATTCTAACTAATAAAATAAAAGCTAATAATCTAACTAAGTAGTTTAGAAGTTAGAAATACTAGTAATTTATTAATTAATTTAATATAATAAGAGCTTAATTATTTATCTTTTTTCTATTTTAGTAGTATATTTATTTATCTATTTACTCTAATTTCAATAGAATTACTAAGTTCTATACAATTATAGAGATAAATTAGACTAGTAGATTATCTAACTATTAAATTCTAGTCCTAATTTCTAGATTAAGCTATTTAAATTACTATTTTAGTCTAATTTATTCTTAGCTATTTTATCTCTATATTCTTACTCTGGATTCTTATCTCTATATTCTAAATATTTTGGTTTCCTAATTAGAAAATTAATAAATAAAGGATTTTAGCTTAAATAGTCTACTTTATTCTATTATTTCCTAATAATTATTCTAAATTATACCAAACTAGTTAACTAGATATATATTAAAATTAGTGACTTATTTATTTTCTTATTTATTCTATCTTTAATTCTTTTAATTTTAATTATCTTTGATTTCAATCTTGCTTTGACTTTACTTCTATACTCAGTTTATATAGAAAAGTAAAAGTGGATTAAAGCCATAATAAATCCTATTTAAAAAGAACTAAAACTCCAATAAATTAAAATAAATAAGATTTAATATATTATCTCTCTCTAACTCTAATTTATAATCTATCATATTAATTTATATAATAGGTAATAACTGCATGTTATATTGATTACTACTAAGAGAATTAGTGTTATTCTATAACTTTTGGTACATGCCTCTGTACTCTGTAATTTCACAGTCTACAATTTACTTAGGGTGTATGCACTAGTACTTAATGATTAAAATTCAATCCGTATACGCCGAGTACTGTCGGCCTCTGGGGCACATTTTCCAGGGATCTGGATCCGTCTCCTCCCCACCAAATCCAGACCCTAGCCTGTATATAACTGATTATACTACTTGGCCCACTCGAATGTCTCGCGACAGGATCTGTGCTCACTGTGTTCCTGGTGGGTTACTGGTGTTTCATTGTTTTGTCTACATGTGGAACTCCAACACTGCACGAGTGGGGATGGTTAATTTGGCATATTATGATTGAGACCGATCGAAGGGGAAAAGGATAAAGTGGAGAAAGAAGTACTCTGTACTCTGTAAAATTAATAAAATAAAACTATCAAGAAACAAAAAATAAAAAATAAACATGTGTTGCTTTCGGGATGGAATGACTGGCTGGTCACACGCACCTCACCTTACGATGAGGCGGAGATCAACTTATGGAGATGGGCGGTCCGAAACCTCCCTCCCTTCCCAAGCCCGGGGGAAATGTATGGGGGCCGACCGAGCAAATAGTGGCCCCAGTACGGGACACGGTCACTATCTAGACGCATTTTATCGATCGATGCTTCCAGTAGCTACAATTCACCTACAGGTCACTACCTACTTATTCTCCTGCTCTGGACTTTTTTTCCCCTTACAGCAAATTGAAGGATTTCGCTTTTTGGTCACCGGAGCTGCCTAGTAACCTACATTACAGCTGCAAACCTCGACCATCACTGATGGCTGCGCTTCACCAGCTATTGTATGTAATACATAGTGACATCATGCGATCAGACAGTCCTGTGTAATGGACAGGGACATACCGCCGGAGACTACCAGTCCAGTCCACCGCAAACCATCGAGTCAGATTAGCATGTACCCTTAGCATCCTAGTTCCAAAGGAGTCATTTCCATGGTAATCATGTCCACTTCCTTTGGGTCTACCTCGCAGTCCGCCAAGCCCAACGAACCCACTGATTGTCCAATCAATGTCGCTGTATCTTAAGCCTTGCACGCAACTGCCTACCTACAGTGCATCATGCTATATACGTCTATCAAGATCATTCTCACTGCACGGTAGCTACCTTGAGATTTTGGTGGACACGGGACAGGAGTCCCCAAGTCCCGGCGAAGCAAAGGGATAACAGTCTTAAATTTCCTGAAGTATAGCTGGCTTGCTGGTCGCCCCTTGACATACACCTAAGTCTGAAGCCTTACACCATAATAACATATCGCTACGAAGCACTCGCAAGTTGATTTGTTTCAACCCAGGAAATTGATTCATATTTCATGTCAACACAAATGGCTCCTTGCTTGCATTTGACCCGTAACATTTTCCAGATATCGTCCCCCACCTAAAGACAAGACATTTGAAGTTGACTTGGCGATAGCAAGGATAAGCCAGAAGCCTCGAAAACGGACTGGCAGCCAGTCAAAGTTATTTCAAAGCAAATGACATTAGCGGGGCGATCGTCACGACCGCAGTAATGGCCCGTGGAATGAAGGATCATATCCGCGTTGCAGTTCCATTTACTTGAATAGTTTTGAAACGGCAACCTCCTTGTCATCATGCTTGTTGAGAATCTTCGCAGTAGCCAGGTCAAAGTCCTCCTGAGTAACGTGCACACGTCTCTCTCGGAGTGCATACATGCCCGCCTCCGTACATACGCCTTTAAGCTCGGCTCCAGAGCATCCATTCATCTTTTCTGCGATTTTTGTAAGGTTGATGCCTCGAGTCAAGTTCATCGAGCGCGAATGAATCCGTAGAATATCGGCACGAGCTTCCACCCTGTCATTGAGGAGAATCTTGGTCAGCCAACGAGTAATGCGATATCACGATCTCAGCAGCAGGGACAGCAAGTATGAGATCCTGGAACATGGGTCAGCGACTTACGACGGCGGAGGGAACTCAATCTTGCGGTCAATGCGACCAGGGCGCAGCAAGGCCGGATCCAATATATCGAGTCGATTAGTAGCCATGATAATCTTGATATTCTTCGTAGGTTCAAAGCCATCAAGCTGGTTGAGAAGCTCCAGCATCGTCCGTTGTACTTCCGAGTCGCCCGATCCCGCCGAGTCAATCCGGCTTGACCCGATGCTATCAATTTCGTCCATGAAGATGATACTCGGGGCGTGCTCTCGTGCCATAACGAAAAGCTCACGAACCATGCGACTTCCCTCACCGATGTACTTTTGCACTAGCTCTGAGCCACTGACTCGAATGAACCGGCAGTCTGTGTGATGAGCGACAGCACGGGCGAGTAATGTTTTGCCGGTTCCTGGAGGGCCGTAAAGGAGAACGCCCTTCGGCTGTGCGATACCAAGTGATTCAAACAACTCTGGATGTTTTAGGCCCAGCTCAATCACCTCCTTGATTTCCTTGATCTGTTGGTCGAGACCGCCGATCATGTCGTATGTACTGTCAGGTACTTTCTCGACCATCATCAGCGACACCAGGGGGTCAACCGAAGAGGGCAACATTTTTTCCAATTTGTATGAGTCAGAGAGCAGCGCAACTCGCTTTCCAACTGTCAATTTGCTAATATCGACGCCATCCGCGATATCCACCACTGCGTAGAGACGCTGAACTCAGCTTGTCACGGAACATACCAAAGTCAAAAAAGATACGCGACGCGTGGGTTTCTCTTACCATATTTGCCTTCAGGATGGACCTTGACAAGAACCTTCTTAGTGCTCATGACCTTGACCACCTCGCCAACATACGAGCCGGGCTGCTGGAGTAGGCCTAGCTCTTCCCGAAGTAGGCGTACCCGTGAATTATAATCATTACGTTGTGCTTCGAGTCGCCTAAGAACAGCCTGGCCCTGGATAATATCGAGCTTCATGCTCTCAATCTTGTTGCGGTAATAATTGTCGAGCGCCATATTGGATGACGACAGATAGTTGCTGCCACGGCAAGGCGAATTGGTAGAATTTCGTCCTATCAGCTCTGATAGGTGAAAGAAAAGAGTTCGGGTTATCTTTCTTCAGAGCAAATGCCGCGAAAGAATAGGTAGAGTATCCGACGAGTAAGGAGATGGACAACTGCCAGTTTAGAGAAGGACGGACAGCCTGTGGAACGGAGGGTGAGCTCTTGCGGTACTAGTAGGTAGCAGGTACTCCGTAGCTTGTCCGCCTATGTCGACGGGAACGCGGACGCCGCCCAGGAGCACACCCGCCACAACACGTCTGTTCAGCCACACTTATCTGACATAATACATACACCGACTTGAACATTGAAGTGGACCAAGTGGATTCGGATACATGATGGGTCCATGGTGATTGCCCGACTTGCCCGGGTAAGGTTGTTAATTGACGCCAATCAATTGAGCGTGGATTATTGATTTCGACTTCGCATGCATCTACCTCTCAATCCCATATACTGCGTATATGATCTCATCTGCCTTGATTACTCAATGTCAAGTGATTGTCCAACTCATTAACAAGAAGTGACTTGCAATATCCTAAGGTCTCAGCTGACTGCGGGGATGCAAGTGAGGCTGTATCTCATGATCTCACTAAGCTGCTAGGGAGCCTGCTAACCAACTAACGTTAATTAGTACTACTATCCATATTCGCAACCACTTCTTCCTTCATGTCAGCTCTTCTTTTGACTCCCGGATTCTCATTATCATCGCCGTCATCATCCTCTTCGTCTCCTGCGGCTCCGAAACAATATGTAACTTTCTCCGTGTCTCCTTAGATTATTAGTTCCTTCCTCCCTGCTCCTAGCCCTGTCTTTCTTGTTCGTTGCTGTTCCAAGTGGCAGGCCACTCTTTTACCAGTGCTTTTTCCGGACTATTCCTCTTTCATAATTGCCCGGCCCCCTCCCAGCCCCATCCCCTCCGCTCAATTCTTGTATCATCATTATAAGCGAGAGTTGGCAACCCGTACTCGGAGGATGTCCAACAACCGACACCACAACCCGCACGACCAGGTGGAAGACGACGGGGAGCAGGACCCTTCCCTCTACGTTCCGACTGAGTCCTCCTGGCATTCGACCAACGAGGAAATGTCAGGAATTGTCCGTCAACAGAGAAATACAGGGCATGTCCGAAGGGATTACGGTGTGTCGCCCTCTCCCTAACGCACTACAATCTCTGCATCCCTTTCCAGTATCTGACTGAGAAACTCATATGGCAGCAGGTACCATGGATTCCTCTACAAGAAGGGACTACGATCAGCGACCAGACGATAGCCAGCCTGAAGCTTCAACGCGCGTCGTCTCTCAGTCGTCATCCGGCCCACCAAGGAAGCCATCAGTAACGCGTCGTATGTCCTCAAAGCGACAAGTTCCTCATAAGGGACAAGAGTTCTCTACAGACGACGATGTGCAAGAAGTGGAAGAGGATATTGCCAAACAACATGGCTCTAATCCGCAGGCGTCGCCCAGGATTCGCCCGCTTAGAAAACAGAGCTCAACTTTGCGCCGACGCTTGAATGCTCGAATGAGCCCCCTTGCTCAGGCAGACTCAGATGTTGACGATGAGAATGATACTGCGTTACCTGATGCTCTCGTAGAAGGGACTGGGCCGGAGCCTTCTGTTCAGCGATCTGAGACCAGCAGCCAAGCCGGGGAGGGCATTCATAGTGAGGAGGAAGATGCGGCGTCGAGTGACGCAGAAAGCTTCACGCTGAAGGATCGCCAGCAAGCCATAAACGAAACGCATCCTTTCGGTATCAGACTTTGGAAACCCGCATTGTACAAGAAGAGTCGTTCGGTGGAAAAAACAGCCGAAGGTGACATCCACTCTTCGCCTGGCGGCCGAGTGGGTAATCTCCTATTCCTAATCAACATTCTGTGGACTCTGTTCTTCGGTTGGTGGCTGGCCCTGGCTGCATTGGCGGGTGCCATCGCGTGCTTCGTGTTTGCGTATTCGCCAAGTGCGGTTGAATACGGCCGAGTTTTCTCTGGCCTCTCTTGGTATCTTATCTATCCCTTTGGATCCTTTGTCCGCCTGGATACGGATGAGAATTACGCAGAGGAGGATGAAGGAGAAGGTCGCAGTATCAGCGAGTATGAACAATGGCAAAATGGTGACCTTGAACATGGTAGATTATTCTTCGGTCCCCGGCGTGACAGATCCCTTGTTGGAAGGAGGAGAAACAGCGTCGATTCAGCCAGTGAACAAGACAGCCTGCTCGGCCGAACTCAAAGAGGTGTCGCGAGGGAGAGCCCCCTCAGTCAGCCGAAGCGACGATTATTCGGTCGTGGCGAGTGGACGCTTGGCCGCGTGGTGTTTTTCATTTTTTTCTACTTCCTTGTCGGACCGCTAATGCTCCTAGTCTCGCTTCTCTGTTGGCTGTTGGTTTTCTGGATTCCTATGGGACGTGTGACCATCATCTTGTTTGATCACCTTAGACGACATCCTCTGGCCTTGTCCTATCACTCTGATACAGCATATATAAGGCTCAGTCCCGGGTCTTCCTCTTCTGTCCTGCTATGCACCTATCGTGCAGCTGGTCTGCGATACTGGAAATATACCGTCGGCGGAACGAACATCTTCTTAATCAACCTACTCGGTGTTGTTTTATTCGTTATCTTTGACTACTTCCTTCTCAGCGAAACCCTGGGTCTCCAAACGGCCATCACTCATCCGGGCCTTATATTCACTCTAGCTCTCGTATCAATCATCCCTCTCGCTTATTTTATCGGACAAGCTGTTGCATCAATTTCAGCTCAGTCATCGATGGGCCTGGGTGCTGCTGTTAATGCTTTCTTCTCCACAGTAGTCGAGGTCTACCTTTATTGCGTGGCCCTTACTGAGGGAAAGGGTCAGCTGGTGGAAGGTAGTCTTATTGGAAGCATATTTGCGGGCATCTTGTTCCTCCCGGGTCTTTCGATGTGCTTTGGTGCTATTAAACGCAAGACTCAGCGGTTCAATGTGAAGTCGGCTGGTGTCACTTCCACAATGTTGATGTTTGCCGTCATTGCTGCTTTTGGGCCAACACTCTTTTACCAGATTTATGGCAGTGTAAGCATGGCCCTTTTTCAAGATCTACTAATATCTCACCACTGCCCAGACCCTTCAATATTCAGTTCAGTGCATCTTGCTAATGAGTTGTTCAGCATGAACTTAATTGCCGATCATGCGCCGACACCATGGAGTCAAGCGGTAGCGACTGCCGTCGTTGTTATTTCTCACAAGTTCCAGCTGTCAATGATAGCTTTTTCCGAAAAGCTGTTCAACCGTACTCCTGGTTCGCTGCCTTATTCCTGTTCCTGTCATACGTCATTGGATTATGGTTCACGCTGAGGACCCATGCGGCCCTCATCTGGGCCACAGAATCTGAGGAGAAGAAGACAGCGGCCTATGCCATTGAGCAGGGTTCGTACGAGCCTCGGAACTTGGATACTTTACAAGCCTCCGCAATGACCATTGGTGGTCTTGCCGCGTCGAGAGGCTCAGTGCGCGATTCACAGCTTTACAAACGTATCCTAGGCCAGTCTCTGAAGCATGTTGGTCTATCTGAGACTGCGGGGGAATGCAACGTCTCTACGCATGGCAAAAACGCAGCACCGTATCTTGTACCTCCACAAACCACGGCTGCAGACAACCACCCAAGCTTGAAGGATTTGCGAGATCTATCCAGCGAGGAAAACGAAGACCTTATGCGTCGGGTAACCGAAGTAGCAGCGACGGCGGCTACTGTTGCTGCCCGTGATGCTGCACGGTCCCGGAAGCCATCCGTGCAACTCGGTCAGCTTCGACAAGCAAATAAAGCAGCCGTTGATTTGGCGAAGTCACACGTGGACGAAGCCGATGAAACTGGTCTCGAAAACCCTCACGCTAGTGGTGGACATGATGCACCCAATTGGAGCAAAGCCCGGAGTTCCATAATTTTGCTGGTGGCAACCATACTGTATGCTATTATCGCTGAGATCTTGGTTAACACGGTCGATGTAGTTCTAGAGAGTGTGGACGTGGACGAGAAGTTCCTAGGGATCACACTCTTCGCCCTAGTGCCCAACACGACGGAATTCCTGGTATGTGCCTTAAAAACATTCCTTGCGGTTGGATTGCTTACAGCCAGATTTGAACACAGAATGCAATTTCATTCGCCATGAATGGCAATATAGCACTTTCCATGGAGATAGGATCGGCATATGCATTGCAGGTTTGCCTCTTGCAAATCCCTGCCCTAGTACTTTTTAGTGCTATGTATTCTCGCTTAATAGATCCGTCCGAATTGCTCACTCATACATTCAAGTACGTCCTCTACCTAGTATTCACACTAACCTCGGTGTGTCGTCTTTAACTTCAACTTGCAGCTTGATATTCCCTCAATGGGACATGATTTCAGTTATCCTTTGTGTCTTCCTCCTCTCCTACGTTCACGGCGAAGGCAAGAGCAATTACTTCAAGGGCTCAATCCTCGTCCTTACCTATCTCGTCGTCGTCATCGGGTTCTACCTTTCAGGCTACAGCAACATAGAGACTATGGGCATTGACCGGTTCGACACGCTGGCTCTTGGTTCATACTCGCCGGAAAGGTTTTACACGGTTGGTCGAGCCACGAGTGGTCAAGCCTTCGCACCTCATTAAGGACCGTCTTCTCCGCTTGTTGGTGTGATGGATAGCTGCTGGGTCTTGTGGGAGTGTTCCGTTGCTTACAGAGAGATGAATCGTATTTCACCAGCCTTTCATAATCTCTTTACCTTAACATTGCTCATTAGGCGACATTATTTTGCCTTCCCGCTCCTCCCTTGCCTTTTTCTTCTCCCGCACGAAGCCCAACGCGGACATTTCAAGTATGAGCCAAGATGCTTGCCAGCGTTTTTCCTGCCGTGGAATCGTAAGTAGCTGATCTCATCCAAGTTGCAACTGCCGAAGATGTCATGTGAATGAGGAATCCGAGGCGAATCTTTTCGAGATGCCGTCGAGGTGGAGGGTTCTTAGGTTTCCCACAAGCTTAGTGTATGATCAACGAGAGCCCGGTATTCCTGCTGCTTGTAGCACTGTTCGAGGAAGACCTTATATTTAGCGTCGAGTAATGCCTTTTCCTTTTCATCACTCGTTGGAACGACTTTCCTTCCCGGCTTGCTCATACGATCCATAATCTCCCAGAGATCCTCAGTTTTGCCCTCGAGATCAGCACTTGCAGCTTTGGCACCTAGCATCGCTGCTCCATGACACACGGCGGCATGTATATAACGTGGGATTAGTACAGGCATGCCGCACGCCGATGCTATTAGACCAATCAATATATTGTTCTGACACTGGGATCCAGACATGAAGATCGAAGTAATGGTGTGACCTGCTTTGTTCATTGTTTCCACAATTTGTCTAGTCTGCAGTGCTATAAATTCGAGAGTGGCGTAGTAGAGCACTGCAAGACCGTCCACGGATTTATCGCTTGTCAAACCGACGATGGATCCCGCCATGGCAGCATCCGCGATAGGGGAACGGTTTCCCCATAAATCTCCATAAAAAAACAGATGTCGACCTAAATATGAAAGACTAGGGGCCTTCTGCTCGTGGGTCATCTCCTTGAGATGTTCGTTTAGAAATTCGTATATATTAGCATTGTACGACTCAGCTATGGAGGCCGCCTGATTGAATGCTGGATGGGTTTCGATAACGTGTTTAAGCAGCTCGCCAGTCGCAGATTGACCGCCTTCAGCCATCCAATATCCTGGCTGAATGGTATCACGGTATGGTCCCCATACACCAGGAACGAAGACCGGGTCAGGCGACATGACAAGGTGACATGTTGAAGTTCCAGCGACGGCAGCAAGGCGGGAGAAAGCCTGTGTCTTATCATTCTTCGCGACTTCGGAGCTCAATTGTCGCGACTCTAGGTCTACTTTGGCGCCGACAGTACCAACCCAGCCTGCATAAGCGTCAATGACACCGCTGCCAATCGCGATTCCTGCCGGTAGCCCCAAATCCGAGGCTGCCTTGTCACAAAGGGTGCCTACTAGCTCGCCAGCACTAAGAAATTCGCCATTCTAGAATGGTGGTCAGTCACTCACTCAGATGTAAGCATATTGCAGTGGTCTTCGTGCTCTGAGTCGAGCAAGTTTGTCAAATATATGACACATAAGAAAATAAGGCTCACCACCTCGTCAACGCCGCCCATCCGCTTGAAGTTATCCTCAACTAGATCTCCCAATCCGATTTCACTCAAGAAGTCATCTTGCCATCCTTTTACACTTCCGTCTACACCGACAGGAACATAGCCTTGCTTGCAAACCACACTGCAGAAGCTTCTTTTCTCGGTTCCTGTGGCGATATGAGTTAAAGCATCAGCCAGGTCGTAGAATTTGCACTGGTCAAAGAGTTCTTTGGGCATGTTGTTCTTGAGCCATAAAACCTTGGGAATCTCCATCTCGATGGACATTTTGCCACCCACATAGCGGAGGAGGTTGTGGTCCGTGGCATTAATTTTCTCGGTCTCTCTCACGGGACGATGATCCAGCCACAGAATCACATTGCGGTCGGAGTCAAAGTTAGGGCCGGTGACCGAGATGGGCTCGTCAGTCACATTAGAGAATACGGACAGTGAACAGGTCGCATCGACGCCAATGCCTCTCACAGTCTCGGGGTCAATGTTATGCTGACTGATGGCACGCTGGACGGCCACGCATATACATCTCCAGATATCGTTAGTAGATTGTTCCTGGTATATAATCAGCCTGAACCTGCAGTGACCACAGGAGATATTCGCGCGGGACAAACATAGTATCCCTGTTGAGGCTGCCAAAGCCCAATGTTTTCAGAAGCTAGCCCAACAATGTCCCCCTTGTTATCGATGATACATGCGCGTGCACTTCCGGTGCCGACATCGATGCCAATATAGTGGTCAACATGCACCTGAATTTCATCGCGCTTGTCTATTGAGGCCTGCCTGGAGCTTTGGCGTGAAGGCCGACGAAAGGGCAGGGATCCCATAGAAGTCATGATTGAGAGGACTGCGGTCGGAACTTAGTATTTTAAACTTTTGACGGTGGAACTGAGCCTTGAGAAAGGCTAATAGGTAGAATATCTATGGCAGCGATTTTTGCTAGCTGGTGGGATCAGACTTCCTTGGGGACATGTATAGATGACAGGTAAGGAAAAGTGATAACGAGAACGAGCTGAGTCCTCAAAAATATGAAAGGGGAAGAGGAGAGGAGGGGTAGTCCTAGATAACAGCTTGGCCTGGGGATAACTACTACTGTGTAGGTACCAGGTATTAGCCAACTACGTACCGGCCGAGTCTACTGTGTCATCGGACTCCAAGTAAGTGTGGATGAGGAGAAGTTCGAATGCTAGTGGGGTTCAAGCGGGGACGAACTGTGAAATACTGTGTAACTAATGTGTACAGTTGTCAAGGAGCGGGCTGGCCGGCTGGTTTGATCACAGGTGAGGTGGTAGGACTAGCAGTTCATAGTAAGTTCAGTTAGTTAGTCAATTAACCAACAAATGAAGTAGTATATTACATTACCTTATGTCCTATGGATTAACCTTCATATAGTATGGTACAGTATAGTACAATACAGTACAATGTGGTACTACAAGATTCTCGCTTGAGCTCACTCCTTCTCTTCTATCAGTATCTCAGCTCCCTCTCCTCCCTCCCTCTTCCCTAGTCATTGGAGTACCAACTCTACATCCTTCCTTCCGCCTTTCTTCAAAACTGGACTTTTGCCTACCATGTGGCAGCTGCAGTCTTTCAAGCTTCTAATAATTACACTTTTCTTTCTCTGCTTAAGAGTTGCTAATTCCTCACCATCCTCCCAACTGTCCCCCATTGATGTCTTTCAATGGCCCGTCACAGCCTCCGAGCCATCTTTGCTGGCCCAAATATCTTATAATTCAACGTCTATGAAATCAGACCTGGTCTCTTATTCGCCCTCACATGCTCTTCAGGCACTGAATTCCTCGGAATTAGTTCGCATTGGTCTCTTCGCAACCACCGCTTCAGGTCTCAAGCACTGGGTTGGGACAGTGACTTCCTGGTCCTCACTCACGGGAGATGATGATCGCCGCCCGATTCTTCGACTTTACATTGGGTCATCACATCAAGTTGGAATATATAATGTTGCCGTGATTCCTTCTGCCGCATTCGTTGCCTCCGCAAATCTAGTCAGCCCTTTAGTGGAACTAGCCTCGAACGAGGCTGGTCCGCGTGCGCATCTGAATCAACCTGTGATAGTAGGTCCGGATGGTAAGAACACAGATGAAGCCATTGAGAAAACATTCCTCCAGAAGTGAGTCCCGCGCTTGTCACCATATTTGCTGCTTGTCATCGACGCCTATGCGAACTGACTTGCTTTACTCAGGTATTGGTGGATCTTCCTAATAGTCACATTTCTGGCCATGTCCGGGGGAGGAGAAGCACAATAGTCTCCGGGACACTACGCTCCTTTGCGTTTTCCACTTATTCATAAAACCACCCAAGCCGCAACTGGATCAACCGCACCGGTTGAGTGTCGCGTGGGCTTGCCCATTATTGTCGGCACTCAACGCGCCCTCAAGTTTCCCCACAGAGAGCCGTTCGCAGTGCCTCTTCGTGCTATAGCTGTTGTGGTAGATTGAATTTATTGGGTCATATTGGATGTCCAGTAGTGTGCCATTCTTGCGGTTCTCGACATTAGCATCGAGTTTTTGGGATCGCGCTGGACTTGATCTTTGGGCCACTGAGAGCTCCGGCTAGCTTGAGAAATGAAGGTATAAAGACCATTTATTGGAGAGACAAATCCTAAACTATATACTCATGATGCTCTGCCAACCAATACTGACATCTGCTAGAGTCGATCGTTACAGGGCATTGCGAAGAAACAACATCGGCAACACCTGACTTTTTCTGGTTGCCGGCTGACTAAAATATCCTTGTCCAAGGTTTGAGAATTTACTATTGCTGGGATCGGAATGGATAGATATGTACAGGAATAATAGTCTCACAATAGTATAGTGAACAAAGATTGATCGAGTGGTGTCTACCTCACACAAATACAAGCTGTTGTCAAGGATTGAAGGATGGATTATAAGTGTCACTTATCAATGTTTGGATTCATCGAAGATACTACTCTCTATGCTTGATTTAGTCTCAAATATGTTGCACCAGGCGCCGTCCTCTTCCCCGCGAGCTGAGATCCCAGCACATGACGCCCTTGTCCGTGAGTGCTATCAGTCCGTTTTCTTCCTGAGCAAATTGCAGTTGGAAGCAGACAGCTTCCAGCGTCAGAGCTATCGGCCGCAGTTCAATCATGCTGGAATCTGGCGCTTGTGAAGCTAGAGGATAGTACCCGTTTGAATTCTCTTCAATCAGCACATTCGGCTCAATAGCCCAGACATAGACTGTTTTCCAGTTGGCGACTGCGAGCCTGGTTCCTTGTCTTGAAGCCGCAACTATGCAGCCAAGGGAGTTAGTGGAGGGCTGGAATCCCCAGAGTCGTGCAACGACAGTCCAGTCGGGCAGTCGCCGTCCTCGTTCAAGCTGTAGGACATGCTGGCAATTCTGTGCGCGACAGAATGTTTCGGACTTCAATAAGCACGCGACAGTCCATTGTTCTTCGCGATGGGTCGCTAAGCCAAAAGAGAGGTATTTCCACTGACAACGAGCGAATCCGTCCAGAAACTGGGTTTCGTGGGTTCCGAAGAAAGGCACCTCAATGGAAAAGAGAAGGCATAGGGAGTCCGTAAACTGCACAGGGCAGGAGTTTTCATACAGTGTAGGCTGTATGGGGAAGGAAGACATGTCAACTCTCTGGAAAGAGCCGTACAAGGTTTGACCGCGATAGCAGTAGAGCAGTTGACTGGATTTGTCGTTGAACCGGAGACCTACTACGGAGCTATTATCGTATGGAGGAAGACCTCGTGCTAGCCTGCTTTGCAATCCTCGGTAACCATCAAACCACTGCCTTTTGCTATTATGCAGGACGCAAGAATTATAACTAGTTTCTAGGTTATGTTAGCATCGGCAGCTTTAGCCGCAACGGCACGATGAAACCCACCAATCACCTCCGGCCGTATCTCACAATCAGATTCTGATGAACTGATATATAGAATCACCTCGATGTCGCTTGTGTCCTGATTATGCTGCCATGAAATGGCAAAAATGCCTCCCCGCGCTGCCGCGAGAGCCAAAGGTTCGTAATTTGCATGATCAGGAAAAGCACAGATGCGCACGGTGCCATAAAGCGACGCTAATGAATACCGAGAGAGGTATACCGTCGTATCGGTCCCAGACTGCATGGCGTGTCTAACAAACGTGTGTCTCGCATAACAATCACTGTCCTCTAATGAAGGCTTAAATCGATGGAGTACATATAACGTATCGTCACCATCAAAGCTCGTCTTGAGGATTTCCACAGCACCTGGTCGACACCATTGAAGTTCCAAGTGTGCCTGAGGTCGGAGTCCTCCCTCAACAATGTGGAATAGCTTGATGCATTCTTGTTCTCGGAAGACGAGCGCAAGCGCCGAGGTCCCCGTAGACGCCAACACGGATGCTTTCACATTGATAGAGCTGATATCAGACTGGAAGGTAACACAGTCTGAACGAAAACGAGCACCGTAAAGTTGTTGGGACGCATGCCTTGACAACAGATGGAAGAGCTCTTTCGCATGCAAAGAGCAGAGGTCGGGGGGTAGAACTCCGGGGGTTCTTTGCAGATGGTGCACGAGGATCTCTCGACAACTAGTCGCAATTTCGTACACGGTACGACATGAGAAGATTGCTTGTAGGAATGTTGGGGTGGAACAGCATCGAAGAACCCATTGTATGAGCTCCGTAGGAAGATTCAGAAGCATGATTATAGGTTCGCGGCGCTCGCCCTTATGGGCAGGGAATAAGCAAGCATGTAACCTCCTGAACTTCGATTACTGCTTATTTGTAGAGAGCGGTGGGAAGGACGTATCACAGGAAACAAGCTCCTTGAAAAGGAGGGATGGATGTAGATTCTTAAGGGCAATCACGACTGGCGGATTTGCCTGTTTACTCGGAGGCACCAGGGTGTTCCTTGCTGCCTGGTAGATAGACAAATCCCCGCTACAACACATCAGAGTATGTTGTTTCCTGGTCATTTATCGGAGGCAGCAATTCTCCGCTCTTTCCCAGGCAGCAGTTTCTCAACTAGAGATTCGAGGCTCACATCTGTGATAGTCAAGCTAGCCGGTGAGGAGTTTACATGCGGGAGCACTAAGAGAGATTGGGCTGGCTTTGCCTATGCGGTCACCTCCACATCGCGGGCGCTGGTGTGTTCCGCCTGCTTCCCGCTAGATCTATAATTAAATAGCGCCTCTTTGGTCTAGAAATCATATGAGGGATGGCTACCAAAAACAACCCAAGAAGGGGGTAAGATAGTGATTAGACATATATCACGTCGACTGATATACACCGCGTCTGTCTATGAATTTTGTGATACCCAACCAAGCCTATCAGTCAAACCGCAGCTCCGTAAGAACTCAAGACAGAAGACAAAACACAACACCCGAAAATGCTCTCACAAGTACATATTGACATGGTAACCAAGACCTGAAAGAGACTAGTATGACCAGAGGATATGATAAAAACACCCACGCCTGCCTCAATAATTTATTATGATACCTCGTGCTTCCATCATCCAGTGATGACCAAGGTATGTCTGAGAATCACCCAATTGTGCTTTGTTGCCCTATGTGTGAGACAGCCCATTCTAGCACACTTTCATAGCACAGAACAAATTGCGAAAGATTTTGAACCATGCTGGGTCTCTGCCTACGGAAGTCATCCACGGTCTTTTCAATGAGGTCTAGATCCTCATCGAGGTGCCATTGACTCTCTGAGCTCGACCCGTCCACGGTGCCTTGGCCTCTTCGGCGCTTCATTATGTCCAAAACTGTATCGACTGTACAAAAAGCACCGGTGCGTCCACAGCCAGCACTGCAGTGCACCAAGACAGGTCGCTGAACCCTTGCATGTCTTTGGAACGGATCAGGGACAGGACTATTCGATGCAGTAAGAACCCGATCGCAATACTCGATAAGTCTGAGAAGATGCGTGGGTTGGGAAGTTGTTCCAAAGTCGGGCCAGTGAGGGTATTGCAGCTGAGTGACTTCCCGCAATGGCTGGAATGGATATGCTGAGTGCGACAGTCCGAAATGTCTGACAATAATATATGGATTTCCAGGGTCGTCTTTCACATCGGGAGGCAACTGGCTACCCTCTAAATTTATGTGAGGTGAATCTCGAGAATTCAGGTAAATCAACTTCTGCGAGAAATTGTTGACCTGGCACTGACCATAGTCGCCAGATTTCCAGTAAGGGTGGCATTTGACTTGTCCCCTTTCGACCTCGGCAGTCAATGAAACAATAAGTCGCACGTCCTGTTCCCATATAACTCGCCAAAAATCCTACAGAACGGTGAGCATGGAATATCTCATGGCTGACCGGCCACATGAGAGAAGGGCAGGTCAGGGAAGACTGCATATTCCACTCACATTAAAGGTATCCGGAACCGGAGCCTGGGTAGCGATGTAGCATTTACCGCTCTTTTCAGCTTTTAGGTGATTTCCATTCACATAGTCGCAGCCGCCAGGAGAAACATTTTGCAGTCTCACTCGGGAATGTTCAAAGGGATAGATGTCATTGTATCTATTTTTCGTTCCTTTCTCGATTCCTGCAACGCGATACTTCTCTGACGAGGAGTCAATCGCCGCAGAAGTGTCGGATTTATCGTAAGACAGTGCTCGTTTCATGCGCGCAAGCTCCCTTTTCTCGAGACCCAAAAATCTCTCAGAGACTTTGCGACCCTTGTCGGAGGCCTCTGACACATCACGTAGCCAGACTGGAAGTTTCTGTCTCCCAAGCTCAGTGAAACCAGGAGGGAGTTGTATAGGTATCTGTCCGACACCGTCAACCAAGTCCATATGTTGCCTGATGTTAGCGAAAAAGGGTATCGCAGCATGAGATGACTCGGGAAGAGCACATCCGCCTGCGACTGGAGCAGCTGAAGGGAGATCAATGTGCATTTTGGGTTTTTTCTTCGTGGTAACTCCTGGAGCTGAAAGCTGCGGCTGTTTGATGAGATGGGGAAACTGAGACGAGAACGTTTTGTAACCCCCTAGCAGAATCCGAGGCTCCCCTCCCCAACCTTCACTAGTGAATTTCTTCAACACATTAGCCAGCGGCCCAGCATCTTTCATATCGGATGTAGCGGCATCAAACACGATGATGTAGTGAGTTTGCCGCCATTGCGCGAACTTTTTCTTATCATGATCAGCTGTAAAGGTATTTGCTAATTTCTGTGTGTCGAACGAGGGTCGCTTCAACAGGGTTGTCGGTATGCACAAATTGAGAGAACCATTGATGGTACCCTTGGCAAAATGCGCGTAAGGTCGTACATCGAGAAGCATGACATTCCGATCAGAGGACCCAAGAAGCGCTGCACATTCATCTGTAGAGATGGGACGTCCTTCCATCGAGCTCGACTGTCCTGAATGTGCATTAGCACCTTGAGACACTATATTTCGGTTCCATGAACCGCAACCCGCGGGCTCTTTCGAGTGGCTGTTGAACATAAGCCCAGATGTCGGAAAACTCCAGTTGTGTTCAAGGGGTCTAGTGTCTGGAAGATGTATCTTTGGATAGGATCCTGCAGATTGAGTATGTGGTACCGTCTCTTGGATATTTCCGTTTTCCAGACTTATCGAGAAATGGTCAGGCCCAGAACGTTCAAGGATTGTATTTGAGGAGGTAAGCCCGGGAGCTCCATGGGTTGAGGTTTGAGTATCACAAAAAGAGAAAAACGATGTTGGGCTTGGTGGGTTGTCAAGCTGCAGATTCTGGCAGTCTGACGGCCAAGGGGAGGTAGGTGATCTGGAGCCTGTCATAGCCGACATTATTCTTCGTCAAAGTAAAAGCCTGCCTTTTTCAACTGATGGGGTAAGTTCGTGATCAGACATAAACCTGCTTTGCCATCGCGATACTGATTCTAGTCCCGTGAGCAGATTGATAGTCAAGACCAGCCGAGGGATGATGCTGCCTACACCAACCACTCAGACTTGCCAACTAGTTGCTCCACACCATATGACAGCGAGCGAATATTCACTTGACTAGCGTCGATGTTTGATAGTCTGTATCCTTAGGACAAATACGGGATTTGCCCTTGGACTAGGCGAAGCGAATCAACACCGTACAGACGGGTGATGCCCACAGCAATTCAGAGAGGCTGGCTGCAAATTCTGGTAGGGGGCGGTGATGTTATGGTTTCAATGAGGAGGTAAATTAAAAAGCAGGGAAGCGAAGTGGCCGCACAGCGATGAATCAAGAGCTTAGACTGAAGTTTTGGGAATCCCGAGTTATGTTCACAAAAGAAAGACAAAAGCCCATGGGAAGTAATGAGTGAGGTTGCCGGCAGGAGGCAAAGATAGGCAAGTGATTTTGGCTGCTTGCAATCGGGGCCTAGCAAGTCTCAACTAAGGGGGGAAAGAATCGCACGCCCAACTGCAGTTGAGTTCCTAGGCCAATGGAAAACCGAGCAAGGAAAAGTGGGGGAATGGGGAGGGGGGAGGTCACTGTTGGCTGATATCACTGATCCACAGCCATTGTTCGAGCGTGGAGGGGGTCGGGGGTTCAACAGCCGAGCGAATTGTGCGGAAGAGCGAATGGAGGGTGAAGGAAACGGAGGGAACGACGTTGTTCTCTTGGATATGACGTTATAGGGTGGGTGGCCGAAAGGGTCGGAAAATGGCACGTGTGCAGAAGGACTCGAAACCCATGCGGCGGCGACCGGTCTGGATCTCCTCGATCTACCAGGAACTACACTGTACTGTGGCGAATCTGTTGGATTCAAGCATACAGCGTCCATGCTCAAGAAGCGCAAGACGGAATATGAGAGAAAAAGCAAACAGTCATTATTAAACTATCATGTCATTTACCTAAAAAGCACATATCGCAGTCTATTGACAAAAAAGTCCGTTCATACCCCGTAATTATGCGTTTCGATACATTCTACATTCCATAGCAATGGAACAATAAATCATACTGCATTGTAGAACAGTAGTCACCACGCTGCTCTGGCTACGTGCTGATATAGTTACTTTGCGAGAAAACAGAGACAGAGAAGAAGCTCCCAACGGCATCAAGCAGCTGGAGCTAAGTATAACACTTGCGCGGCCTATTCTCTGAGAATACATGTGAGATTTCTCATGGTAGTGTCGATCCCAAATCAATATTATTTGCATCGGACTAGCAAAGCCGATTTGAACTGCTTTGTGTGACACAGGCTGGTGTGATTGTTATCAAATAGCACGTTGTTGCCACAAACAGATATAGGAAGCGAGCAGGAGGCCTCTGCAAAAGCCTGTAGCATTTTCGAGCTCGAGTCTGGGGCTGCTGATCGGACGAGTATTGAATTTATGATCATGGTGGGATATGAGCTCCCTGTCCCATCCGCAGAATCCTCTCGAGTCACCGGTCTATGGCGGTCATCTCGGAAGGTTGTGGATGTACGGTGGCTTATCGTCATCCGGGCACCTTTTTGAAATCGGCAGGATATCGTTGAATTGGAGGGAGGGGGTCTATCAACATTGAAAAATTCTCGGTGTAAATAATGCAAGTTATGCTTCATTGCAACCAGATTTTGCGAAAAGACGTCAATGGGCAAGGGCCCTTGGTAGCATGCCATCATGAAGGATGCGTATAGCGTAGATTTAAGAAAGGGCTTGGCTACATGATCAAAGTGAGATAGCCAAACCAAGTTGAAGTGAAACATTCTTTCTGGGATTGGAGTAAACTTGTCTTCGTTGATAGTTCGAACCTTAGTCGACTGAGGAGAGAGGACGCGTTGAAAGATGGTCAGGTTAAGGTGACTGCATCGGAAGTCAAAAGCCGGGATTAGTGCTTCAAAGTCTGCCATCAGGTTCGCCTTTGAAGCGTTGCACTCGCTTCTGTTCCCAATCATCAAGATCCTTGGCCATGAGTCTCTTAAAAAAAACTCAGCATCATATGACATTTGTCAAACTGGTAATTATCACTTACGTAGTATTCTTCTCGTTCGTCCCCAATGACTCTCCTCCGCGGATTTCGTCTTATGCCTTCCTCGCCATCCGGCCCCTTAAGACCAAGATTAAAGGCTTCCTCTTGAGTAAGTTGTTTTACTTTGCGATCATAGCGCTCATATCTTAGGGCGGCAGCCGGCGTCAATGCAAAAGACCCGGCAACTATGACCATGATGAAGGGAAGGCCAAATAGTAGAAATGGATGCTTCGGGAGACGTGATCTATATGCCGCCCCGACCCGCTCCCCAAGGGATGACGATGCTGTTGTTGCACGCCGGAAAGTCTTGGCTTGAAATATGGGCATTTCGTCTCGGTCTCACTATTGATTGATCAATTAAGTGGTCGCGGTGACAATGCGGAAAGATGGCCTGAGGATAATCTACCGCAACGATTTTTAAGGTTACATAATGCTGTATTTACCAGAGTGTGCGAGGCGGTCAGAGGTTCAGCGGAGAAACATAAGTCCGTCATAACCACAAGGCTTGCCAATCGCTCGCCTGAAAGTCTGCTATAAACATCAGGTTGCCGAATCACAAAGCGGCGGAGTATTGAAAGAGGCACACCTTCTTTTCAGGAAGAGAACTGTGGTATGTCACTCCAGTGTAGTCAATATTTTGATATTTGGAACTGATAACCAATGCAGGTTTTGGGCATTTCAATTCTGTACAACCAAGGCATTTGCTGCCCACTCTCATAGATCTTACCACGGCAGCAAAATTCTTTCGATGACATCCACAAACCCAGGCTCCCTCTTTGCGCTGGGTGGCACAGCAGCTGCAACACAGCCAGCAAGGTTGTTCCAAAACAACACTTCTAGCACTTTGGGCAACACGTCCACAACACAAACGCCATTAGGGGGATCCTTGCTCGCAACGCAACTCCAGGCCCAGCAGCAACCGATACAGAGTTCGTCATTCGGACAGAATTCAATGCAGCCCAGTGCAGCACAGCCGGCACATGTATCTAGTCAGACGCAACCCGCTTATTTTAACAGCCTACTAGAGCGCGGGAAGAAGAGGCCTCTTTCGGCAACCGGTCTTAATAGCACTTTCGACAGTTTGCCCACATTGCAGTTGGGCCTTGATGATATCCGCAAGAAAGCGCGAGAGCTTGGTACTAAAGAATCGAAAATACAGCAAAAATATGCAGCGCATAGCAAGGCGTAAGCTGTCTTCCCTCTTTGTCCCCCTTCTTGTCAATTGAGTTTATGTGACATACTCATTTCTCTCAGTCACTATATGCTGGCTGCATCAGGGGTCTCACCTGGCCACGCACTAAGAGACCTGAAAGCTCTAGACCCGCAGGTGTCATTGTCGGTCGCTACAAAAGAACAGGAGTCTTTCGATCCTGATAATCAGAAATACCTAAGGAACCTGCAGCAACGCGGTCGTCAAGTCATGATAGCCGAAAGCCTTGCCCGCACTCAAAGAGACTTTGATCTATTTTTGGAAGAAAGACTTGATCTGGATTGGGAAGAACAACGACGGAAGATATTTCAACACTTCGGTTTGACCCATAAAGACGACAATGCTAAGCAGGGAAAAAGTGTGTTTGGTCGCTCAGTAAATCGGACACAGCAGTTTGATGCAGCGTCTGCTCGTGGCCCTGCATCGGCATCGCGTAGGAGTGTCTTTGGACGCTCTGGCTTGGAGAAATCTGTTATTGGACTGCCTGAAACCGGAGCCGCCGGTCTGCAAATACTTGATGATTCCACGGAGCGCACCGACGGCCCGGGTAGTCACCCTTCCGACTCTCGATTCTTGAGGGAGAAAATGGGATATTACTCCGACAAGGTGCAGCTGTTGAACTTGGCCAGACTTCAATCTCGGACATTCCCGGTATTACATGAGTTTTCTGAGGTTGAAGGGCATGCAGGTGGCGACGTAAGTCGGTGCGTTTCAGTTGTCTACTAGTGACTAATCTATATTAGGTCCCAAGGCAGTTGTATGACGCCTACAGAGCCTTGATCAACATCGTCGGGGAGGCACCTGAGGCAACAAATGTTTCAGATCCTTCCGCTTTGAGGGAGCGGCAATTCTCCTCAGACTACTTGGACGAAACACCGACCTCGCGCAAAGCGACTAATTTAAGGAACCGGATTGTTGAGGGCTCACGTACATTCCTCGAAAAGCAATTTTACACGGAACTAGAGAGTAAAATCGCAAAAAACCCCCGAGAAGCACAACTCGGTGGTATTCCAACGGTAATCAACAAAGTTCGTGCTTATGTCAGGCTCAGGGCTGCAAGAAGAGATCTCGCCCCGGACGGCACCGAACTGCAGATGGTCGGCGAGGATTATTGCTGGATTCTTATATTCTATCTCCTTCGCTGTGGATTCGTAATGGAAGCAGCTGAATACGTCAGTCAAGATCCAGGCTTTCGCTCCTTGGATCACAAATTCGTCACATACATGACAACCTATGCTCAGACCAGGCGCTTGCCGCGTGAGCTTCAACAGAAGATCAACGGAGAGTATCAGCAACGGTCACGGAATGCGCCTGATAATACGGTCGACCCTTACCGCATGGCATGCTACAAGATAATTGGCCGCTGTGAACTCAGCTGTAAACACTTAGATGGCATCAACCAAAGCGTGGATGATTGGACGTGGCTGCAATTCACCCTGGCCAGAGAGGATGACCGCGCGGAAGAAGTCGCAGGCGATGTATTCGGGCTTGAAGACATTCAAAGTGACATCGCAGGCATCGGCCAGACAATTTTCGGCAAATCCCAAGATAGCCCAGGGGGTTACGGAACCTTTTTTCTCTTGCAGATTTTAGGAGGCATGTTTGAGCACGCTATCACTTATCTTGCTACCTATGCTCCCGTCAGCGCAGTACATTTTGCCATTGCTCTCGCGTATTATGGCCTGCTACGCGTGTCCGACTTCTATACTTCGGGCGAAGGATTGTGTAAGTCGCAACTTTTGAAATCAAGGATTTTTTTGTCGGCTCGGCTTTACTGACGAAAAAAGTGTCCTTCACTGTGAAACAATACTCACAGGTCAATTTCGCCTCCCTCATTACACAGTACACTAAGCAGTTTCGCACAGCCAACGTTGAGGCAGCAATAGATTACTTTTCTCTGCTGTGCCTCAATGCTGACTTGCCCGGATCCCTAGGTAAATCTCAAGCAGCCGTGTGTCACGAGGCTCTGCGAGAGTACATTCTGGAAACCAGAGATTTTGCCAAGCTGTTGGGTGACGTGCGCTGTGATGGAAGCAGAATTAAAGGCTTGATCGAGCAGCGAATTAGTCTGATCAAACTCGTCGACCAAGAGGAGTTCCTGAAGACAATCACCGTTCAAGCGGCGGCTATTGCCGATGACAAAGGACTGATCACCGATGCAGTTCTCCTATATCATCTCGCCGAGGACTACGATCGTGTCATCGACATTATAAACCGAGCTCTTTCCGACGCTGTCGCTGTAGACTTGGGAGGACCAGTGCTGAAGTTGCAACCACTGAGACCTCGGGCTGATTTGCGGAGTGACAATCACGGTCCGAGGCAGGGAGCATTGCTCGAACCCGGGAGTAGCCTCAGTCTCACCGCTGTGGAAGACCCAGTGATCCTAGCCAAAAATATGATTGGCCTGTACAATGCCAATGCCTTATATTATCAACAAATCCGCCAAGTCAATCGTGACTCGTGCGGGTTGCTACTTCGCATGATGGAGGCGAAGGCAGAAGTCGAAGCAGGGAGATGGACGCCTGCCCTTGATGTAAGTTTCTCGGTCACCAGGCCTCGCATATCGTTCGCCATTCCGCTGATAATAATACTTTCCAGGCCATCAATGACCTGAACTTGCTTCCTTTACGGGCAAGAGGTTCTGTTTCCTTCATCCGCGGTGCTGCCCAAGCTTTTTCGTCCTTCCCCGCCATAATATCTCATAACATTGGCCATGTCATCATGTGGAGTATAACTTGCATAGGCCACGAACGTGACCGTCTCGGCTCCAGTGTGTATGAGAATGAGATCAGACAGGGACTGGCTGGTGAGCTGCTAGTTATGGCCAAAGACCTAATGGTTTTCTCGGGGATGGTAAAATATAAACTGCCGCCTAAAGTGTACGAAACACTTGCGCGCGCTGGAGCGGAGATTGGAGCATATTGAAGAGATACCACTCTCATCATGTAATTGCTCAGTCCACCATTTCTTTGCTCTTGGTGACTTTGCCGGCGGCCCATTCACGTAGTTGTCTGCAGATAGAAAGAGACTTCGAAAATCACATTGGCGGCTTACATTGTGTGGCCGCACCTATGTCTGTTTATTACTTGTATCGAGGACCTGGTACAATATTACGTAGTTATCAACAGCCACTCAGCACCTCCGCGAGACTCGGATGCCAAGACATTGAGCCGCCTGGGGGTTTCTAATCCTCTCACTGTTAGCAAACCTGCTACTGAACTTTCAGCTGGATTCCTAGGCACCTTAAAATTGAACAAGCACTAGGAATAGGGGTCACAGATTTTGGCGGCATCAGCGTGCATCACGCACACAATAAATAATCTCTCGCCTTTCAACATGGACAAATGCTGCATCTTGCAATCTTACATCTTCGTCCTAAGCACACCCTTCTTCAAAAAACCTTGAAAGCGAGGGCGCAGTGCCCGACATGGGACATGACCGTTCTAAAGCATTTGCCACGAGTACCAAACCCACGCCATCCAGTCCCGAGGAAGAACAATCATCAAAAGGGGTCTCGGCTCAACTAAAAGAGCAAGTGGAAGGGCCCTCGATATCGAATATGGTGACATCCTGTGAAGAGGCAGAACACGGTAGCGAAGAATTCGGCAACGCGTCGGATGTTGTGGCGCTCGGAAGTCAACCTGCTTCTCAGGCTGTTCCTGCTACAGAGGGTCGTATCGCTTCGAGCTCCGAAGGACCGGGCTCGCAGGACTACACAACTGCATTGGCCAACACATTGGCAGACATAAGCAGCAATTTTGACGACATACCCGCATCGGAATTTTCGAGCTCGCCCAAACTCGACTGTCTTATCAACAACCCTCCTAACGTCTCCAGAATTCGACGAGTAATGTTTGAATGCAAGGACCCAATAGAGATAAGTCTTGAGGAATTTGAGACGTACTGGCCGTTCATTGATAACGTGTGGGTTAAACAAAGGTCAAATTCTAGCAAAGAGGGCCACTGTACTACGGACTATTACATGTGTCGTTTACGACGTCCTACTCATCGTACTTCAGAAACTAGGCCCTTGCCCGAAGGCAAACGACCCCGAACTAAAAGAGTCCGAGAGGGTGGCATTTGCAACTTTCAAATCAAAGTGGTCAGGTTCGAAGGCGCTTATTCCACTGTGACTATCGCAAGGACTCCGGGAAGCAGCCATGTGCATTCGCACGACCTCGACTTCATCGACAAAGTGAAGCGGAATTCAGGACTCATGGAGTTTGCACGCAAAGAAGCAGTCAAGGGATACTTACCATCTTCCATCTTTACCAAATTCCGAGAAGAGCCCGCAAAACTTGAGGAGGCGGGTGGCAAGTTTCTCACGGTGACAGATGTACGCAATGTTTCAGCCAAATGGAGAATCCAGAATCCTGAGGTCAGACTCGTACCGCATGATGGTTATGAATACCAGAAAGGTCATGGAATTGTGAAGAAACAAGGAAGTGGAAGCAACAGTGGCAGTCCGGTATTGGCAAGCACAACCCTGAAGTCTTCGCTACCACCAGATACTCTTTCATTTCCCCAGTTTTCCCTAGAATTTGTTGAACCTTATCTCCCGAAGCACGATGAGCGACGCCAGTTCCCTCACGTCACTTTATCTTACGCGTCGTCCATGGATTCAAAAATTTCACTTCTCCCAGGCATGCAGACGGTGCTCTCGGGACCCGAGGCTAAGCTTATGACGCACTATCTACGGTCTCGCCATGATGCTATCTTGATTGGAGTTGGGACGGTCCTTGCTGATAATCCGGGCTTGAACTGTAGATTGGAAGGAGCGGGCGGATACGGCGGTTTGGGAAGAATGTGGCAACCGCGGCCCGTGGTGATTGATCCCACCGGCCGATGGCCCGTTCATCCTGAGTGCCGGATGTTGAGAACTGCAGTGGAGGGTAAAGGCAAAGCGCCGTGGGTTGTGGTATCTCCAGGAGCCCGCATCCACCCCCAGAAACTAATGATGCTCAAAGGCTATGGAGGTGACTTTCTTCGAATCATGGAATACAATCAAGATTGGCGATTGCGCTGGGAAGCTATTCTTCGCGCTTTGGCATCTGAGGGAATAAAGAGCGTCATGATCGAGGGTGGCGGAACCGTCCTGAGTGAGCTATTGAACCCCGAGTATGCAGATTTCATTGATTCCATAGTCGTGACTGTCGCTCCCACTTATCTTGGATCAGGTGGAGTAAGCGTGAGTCCAGATTCTAAGCGTGATAGAGACGGGAAGCCGAACGCAGCCTTGAATCCCAAGGATGTGAGGTGGACGCCATTGGGTCAAAATGTTATCATGTGTGGCAGAATCCGCACGGAGGCACCCTTTGCCTCCAGCCTTCCAGGATGATATGGCTCAGCTTTGTCCCCTTCCTCATCTCGTTCTGATCCAATTCTCCGTGCCTCATGTGTCAGTCTTTCCCTGCCAGTATAGTACTGGGGTCTTGACACGTGGCGCAAAAGTCACGAGTTTCTGAGACTCTTGGGCCAAGCCTAGAGCCAGCTATGATAGCGTTGTAGTGCGATAGCCGTTGACTATATTGTCTTGCATGCAATCAGACGCACTTGCAAGTGTATTGGTGGCACACTGTATATTAGTAGCAGATTGTGTATATACATGAAACAATAAATACCTTTTATCAAACCTTCAATCTCATCGTACCAAGGAAATAGCTGTTAGGTGAGAATAGCATTAGCAGAGATACTGCTGTTAGTACCGCTAGCAGCAGTTGAGTTAACATAGAATAATGGGATTTCTTTCAAGTTATCGAAGCAGTTGTCAGTTGTTCGGTCATGTCTCGTGATCAGCAACCACGTTCTATTGACCTTAGGCTTTGATCTAAAGTCGTTAGAAAGTAAGAAAGAAAAACTACTAAGCTGGGAAGCTTCCTCAGGCTTTGTTGACATGCGCTTTCAAGTGCTACGCCTTTATGCACTGTGACTACTTCACAGACTAGTACAGCTTTAGTTGTTGTTTGGTGGCATGCCAGTGATTGTTGTTCGCTCTTAGAAGAACAACAAGAACAACAATGAAAGCCATCCCCCACGCAGTGCCTCTCTCCCACTTCAATTGATTTCCGCAAAGGTTACTGTGTTCTCCTCTTGATAAATCCTCCTCTTGATAATCCCTCCTCTTGATAAAACCTCCTCTTGGTAAATCCTCCTCTTGATAAATCCTCCTCTTGTTAAATCCTATAAAGCTGCCCATTTGAAGTCAGACTAATCATTCCTTCCAACAATCTATATCACTCAGTCTCAGCATCTTTCCCCTCCCCCTCTTTTCTCCACTTCCCCTTCTTTTATCATCTTGTCCTTCCGTCTCGAAAACAGCCTGTGCTGACTAAACTGCATTTTTCGCGACTATGCACTCGGAGAAAGGTGCATCTAAGTTTACTGCGGACCAAGCTGCTGCTACCAAAGGCAGGCAGACAAAGAAGGCCAGCGCACCTATTGCGGCGATCACCAAGGTTAAGCGAAAATCAACAGTTTCCGCTCCAAATACGCGGGAGCGCACTGCTAAGCTTAATGAAGCCACCGAGAGACAAGAGGCTATAACGAACTTCGAGGTTTCCAAGAAGGTTAATGCTAGCAATTCCAGTGAGGTTTCTCGCCGAGAAGAGACTGGAACTATTTCCACAAAGCCTGCCAAGCGAAAAGCCGACATCGATAATGAGAAATCAACCCGCGATCCGAAGAAGACTCGTGTAGTCCGACCCCGGGTACCAAAGCTGAAACCAAAGGTTGTCATCAACAGTGCTCCCACTACCCGCCTCAATGTCTATGTGTGTGGTGAAGGCAGCTCTGGCGAACTCGGTCTCGGAGCAGGTAAAACTGCTATTGACGTGCAAAGACCTCGTATCAATCCGCACTTGCCGGCAGACCGGGTGGGCGTTGTACAAGTCGCAGTGGGCGGCATGCATTGCGTGGCGCTTACGCACGACAACAAAATTCTCACATGGGGTGTTAATGACCAGGGAGCGCTCGGTAGAGATACCGACTGGGAGGGGGGCTATAAGGATGTGGGCGAAAGCAGAAGTGATTCGGATTTAGACTCTGACGAAGGCACTGGCCTAAACCCACATGAGTCAGTTCCTACTGCTATCCCGTCTGACGCTTTCCCACATGGCACTGTTTTTGTGCAAGTTGCTGCTGGCGACAGCTCAAGCTTTGCCCTCACGGATGAAGGTCAAGTCTATGGTTGGGGAACTTTTCGGGTAAGCTAGCATTCGCCTCGGTTGCTTAGCCTGAGCTGACCATATCAAGAGCAATGACGGAATCCTAGGGTTCGATCCTAATCACAAGATCCAGGCTGTTCCCCTACATATCCCTTCGCTCAAGAAGATAAAGCACCTGGTCTGCGGTGATAACCATGCTCTTGCTCTAGATGAACAGGGCGCCGTGTTTTCGTGGGGTTCCGGCCAGCAAAACCAGCTCGGCCGCCGTATAATCGAGCGGAACAGGCTAAACGGGCTTCAACCACGCGGATTCGGTCTACCAAAGAGCATAGTGCACATTGCTTGTGGCGCTTATCACTCCTTTGCCGTTCACCAATCGGGCAAAGTCTATGCATGGGGTCTCAACAGTTTCGGTGAGACTGGTATCAGGGCCGGTGCTGGCGACGACGAGGCCGCGATTGTCCACCCTACAATTGTCAATTCGCTATCAAATCAAGGTATCACTCAACTTTGCGGTGGCGCTCACCATTCACTTGCCGCCACCAAGAGTGGCAAATGCCTGGTTTGGGGACGATTGGACGGTTATCAAACAGGTCTCAAGATTGTGACACTCTGTGAAGAGGCTGTCATCAAGGATGAGCGTGGGCGCCCGCGGATTCTTATAGAGCCAACTCCTGTGCCTGGAATTAAGGCCAATGCCGTCGCAGCAGGTCCAGATCATTCGATCGCGATCGATGTCGAGGGCCGTCCTTGGTCGTGGGGATTTTCCGCTACTTACCAAACTGGCCAGGGTACACAGGATGATATTGAGGTAGCAACTATTGTAGAAAACACCGCTATCCGGGGGAAGAAACTGAACTGGGCAGGTGCAGGTGGGCAATTCTCCGTGTTCACTGAACCAGTGACACATTGAGCATATCTGATTTAGTTGAGATCTGTAAAAGCGATGGCGTCTATTTCAAAGTTTGTCAAAGCTTATTCTAGTCTGGTTTTGTGTACCCATTCCATGACTGCACTGGTATGCAAAATGCCATGAGTACTACATACCGTTCAGCATAATACTTAGCTCACTTCTTTGCTGGGGATCTTGTTCACATTTGAGTCTGCGGCGAGATGCTCCTTCATCCGTATCATCTGTTACTATTGTTTTTAAGACGTCATCAGCGCTTCTCATATGTTAATGCGATCCCGAAGTCTGCTCGGACTGCCATAGAGCAAGCAAATCAATGCCCTAGGCGTCAAGGCTACTATCCCCATATTCCCGCAAGAGGAATTCCAACTCATCATCATTAGACGCATCAATTTCGATACCAGTCTCCGCTTTTTCTTGGTTTGACTCTCGATCTGTTGCGTGTGGCTGTACCAGGTTGGACGCCGAGTTCCCGTGTCCACCGCCAGGGTTCAGCGCACTTATTGATGTGTCGAATGTCTCTACCGTAAAAGGAATATCATTGTCTTTGCCGTAGCCATCAGAGGTTTGCTTATTCAAATGGGCCAACTGTGGCATCTGCACTGCTTCAGCCGCCAACGCTTTTGGTTTCTCTTCGTCAATCCACTCCCTTCTCATCGTTTGCATGCGTTTAGAGTGGCCAAGTTTTTCAATGATGGCCAGACCATCGGCAAATTTAGCACGAGGATACAGATTATCAAGCCATAATTGATAGAAGTTCAGAAGCCGGGCCACATCAGAATACTATTCTCTAATTAGCGGTTTGCACAAATGATTCAGATCTTCGTGGCCAAAGACCTCGTGTCCTTTGCCTTTCAGTCTAAGCCTCTGCCTTGACGTGCGGCGTAGCTTCGGTATTCCAGAGTGCGACAGTAACCTAGGCATTGGATAAATATGTGACTTAAGCTTTCGAGATGAAGCGTGAACATTGCCCTTACCTGCTCTCATCCAATTTTGCAACGAAACGGCGATGCTTGCTAACCTTGACTTTGTCGTCGACTCCCAGAATAGGCATTGTTGAATTTTCACCAAAGGGTTTTGCAATAGGTTCAGTCGTAGGTCGTTTCCATGTCGCATCCAGACCGGCGTCATAATCAAACAAGGAATCGTCATGGCTCGTCAGTCCATTGAGTGGCTCTGTCTCAAGTTCCATTGTACTGGGTGGTATTCAGATCTGGAGATCAAGAAAATGATAACTCAAGCCACAACGGGGTGGATAAGAAGGGGAATGAAGCCGGATGGGCACTATTATGTCGATCTAACTCACTATCGTAGACTGCTAGGCAGAGTACGCTACTATGACGGTTAGGGCGACGACGCGCTGTGCAAGCTCGGGACGCGTCTGTATTCCGTAAGTAGTGCAATACTATCTTACTAATTGTAGACTAGACTCAGTACTTCCAGTCCAAGTTACATCGCATACCGATACCGGCGCATGCAGTACGGTATTCCACAAAGCTCATTATGGTATATCTGTGATGACTAACCGCATGTTTGCGCGCTAGCTGGAAAGCGGTGGGCTGGGCATAACTCCTAAGTTCCAACTTCATCGCAGCAGAAGCCAATCCCTGAAGCACGATTATCACGCATCTTGCTCTAGCTTCGCCAATTCATCATGGCCACCGATAATAAGGCAGCGCTTGTTCCTCCGAAGCGGGCCATTACCGACTACCCGGTATGCTTCGAAGATACTGTTTTTTTGAACACAAGTTGAAGATCAAAGGTTGCTAATCAGTGTTGATAGCTAATTGATTCCGACCCGTATGAGCCCGTGCCTACTTATAAAGATTAACAATCGCGCAGAATTTTGATTGAGAGGTCTAGGCACTTGAAACGAGTCGTTGGCTATGCCCGACCTTCTGATTACGCCGTAGCCGGCGGATTGGCTGCTGCTTCCCCGATTGCGTTCTGGATCATGGAGAGGGTGAGCCCATCCCATGTCGGCAGAGGCGGCTTTGCTCCTGTCATGCGACTAGCAACAGCAATTGGTCTCGTCGGAGGTCTACATATATTTTACCAGCGATCCTGCAGTGAGTCCACCATCGCGGTTGGGGAATATAACGTTGCAGACGCTGATCGGCTGTTGTAGATCGCTTCTACGGTTTCACAGAAAACACACGAGAAGTCGAAATGGACATGAGAGAAATGGTAGGCAAGGTGAAAAGAGGGGAACCATTATACGGAACCTCCCAGGTTTCGCCATACTTGCAGGGTGTTGCCGCCAGAAATTCGCGTTATTCTCAGCTCTTTAGCCATGTCATTCCATGGATCAATATTGTCAACCACGACCAAGTAAGTTCATCAAGAACCCGTGCCACCCTGCACAAAGGCGTAGAGCAGGCAGCTTCTGAATCTCATGCTAATATTTTCGAAAGCACGGAGTCGATACTGCGAAATATTATCAACAAGCGGAACGGGAGCTCGAAGCGGAGCCTCTAAAATAGGTGTATGGCTCGCTCCCAGTATTGATTGAACTAAATAGTGACAAACATTAACTTATGCCCCATGTTCCCTTCTATTGCCGCAAACCTGTCGTTACTTATAATCAGAATCTTCAAATTCAGGCCGGTTTCGAGCCCATCCAGGATTGCGGACTTTACTGGGTCACGGTTCATTGAGTATGAGTCTGACTTCCCGAGACGCTGGTTTCAAAACTCGTTTTCAACTCACGGTTCTTCTTGGGCCGAGGCTTGGGTGCTGAACTGCAGTCAACGAGAGTAATATAGTCGATAGCCGGAGTGTCATACCATTCTCGTTTTCCTGTATATAAAAGCGCCGCAGTAGCATTATAGCTTCTTCCTGAAATATCCCTCCGTGGACGGGATACGGCGGGTCTATTGAGGAGCTAACAGTACATCTATCAGTGACTAGATTTCATTGATGAGGTCGAATACGAACTCTGAGTGTAGCGAGAGTATGCTTCCAGTCCCCCCAAAGCGGTCATTTCCACAGCCAAAATAAACAGTGCGTATCTGATATTGCCTCAAAGCAGAAGCACACATGACACAGGGTTCAACAGTCACGTAAAGATCTGTTGAATGAAGCAGCGACCGGGGGTATTTCTCGAGCATTTCCTCGATGGCGATGAATTCAGCATGCCTTGTGCCCTATGTTTCATCAGTTCATACTGTTGGTAGGATTATCTTTCCACTTTCCGTTATCTTTCATCTTTCCAAAGATTTCTGTGAGACACAATCATTGTCGCGCTCTCGAGGCTCATAAGCCTCAGAAGCGACCTACATTCATGGATTTATTGGTATCATTCATCCCTGAGCCGACAATTACATCATTATGAACAAGGACACATCCGACTGGCGTCTCGCCTGTCTCAAGTGCCTTTTCGCCCTAGAAGAAGATATGAGTTTCCTACTATTTTCTCAAACAATTCCGGTAAGCACGATTACCATTATCAGTGCTTGCTTCATGAAATACGCGTGGCGAGAGTCGATATGATTGGCCATTGCTATAATATATACCGAAAAGATCGAATGCAAGGAGCTGCTGACAGAAAAATTGTGTCGAAAAGGAGCCGAGCCGAGGTTGGAGAGGTGATTCTAAGCACTTATTGAGTTGATCAACCTGGGTCAAGCTGTTCCACATTTAACAGTGCAGGACCAGGTAGAGTATGTAGAATTCGAACATGCTCCTGTACTCTGTACTGCTCCATACATACAGGCAAACCTGTTATTTCAACATGTATTTATACCACACTGAGACCTGTGAGCTGATATCAACTATAGTCACTGATGTTTTCACAAGAGTCATTGGTGTTAAACCTAGCGAAGGAAGGTGCAAGCCTTGGCACTGCTGACCCAATTGGGAAGATTTATTCAATTTATTATACAACAATAAATACAGGTAGAATAGAAAAACTGGTAGAATTAACTATATACAGTTAGCTAAATCTTTATGCTGTCAAAAATCTTTACTATTATATAAAAATTCTGGAATTTTTTTCCTTAAGTTTAAAATTCAAGATCTTAGTCATTTTAAATCTGAAAAAGTGATATTAGATAAAGAAAATTCCAGATTTCTTAACTATATAACTTTTATTACTCTATCTTCTGAACTAGAATAGATATTCCTTCAAAATATGAAATTTGGGTGTATTGGATTTATTAGCTAGTTTTTAGAGGTTTTTAAATTTTAAAAATTTCCTCTAATAGATTTGAATTTTTCTTATCCGAATTATCACCCTCAGTCTGGAACAATCATTTTCTAGTTTTCAATATTTTTTAAAGTGTTTTCTCTTATAAAAAAGCTGCCCTACTTTTACCCGGCTTATCTAAGCAAGCACCCCATCAAACCCCCCCCCCCCCCCCAAATAAGCAAGCACCCCATCAAACCCCCCCCCCCCCAACATATATATGAACCATACTAACTTTCTCTTATAAAAAAGCTGCCCTACTTTTACCCGCCCCATATATATATGAACCATACTAAGCCTCCCCCCCCCCAACATATATATGAACCATACTAACTATCCTCCCTAGTATATATATACTAACCATACTAACCACCCCATGTAATGGTTGCTGGCGGTACAGAGGATTCTGCCCTGTTGTTCCGCCTTAGGCGGATCTTAGCTAGTTTTCACCCATCTCAGGATCTTCCTAAGCAACTTATTAATAATAATATCTTCCTAATACTAATAAATTTAACTTTAGTTTATAGTAGTATATTCTAGGTTCTAGATACTATATATATTTCTATAATTTTATCTAGTGACTTCTAATTACTCTTTATATCTTCTATTTCTCATATTTATTTATTTATTTATTCATTGCTATCTATCAACTTTAATTATCTTATAGTTAATATTCTGTTAGTTAATTATATTATAATCTTACTATAATGGTTGTTTGTAGTATTATATAATAGAACAACTACTATCAGGAGTAAGATCATCAGAATGATATACTATAGTAGTTATAGGAGTTATAAGGTTATTAATAGTAAACCTATATCTTCCTAATATCTATAAGACACTGATTCCTCTGTAGAAGACTACTAAATTCTTAAGAATTAGTTTATTTTATAAATATAGATTATCTTTATTATTATTAGATAAATCTATAGTATTAAATAGTTAATTTCTTATACAGTTAATAAATTTTCTACTCTAATGTAAGGGCTGAGAGCCCTACAACTCCCCTTTAGGGAAGAAAAGTATTATATGGGCGTATTAGTAGGGCCAATAGGTCTATAGTCCAAATTTAAGAAATAAATTAGCAACTATAGATAATACTAACTAAATAGCTATTATTTTAAATAAGTTCTATTATTTATTTTTTATAAGTTTACTTATAGTTATTCTAATTAAGAATTTAAATCTATAAGGACCTATACTCTTAATAAGACTAGATAGTTTTCTTTCTTAGTAATTAGATCTAATTAGATTTAGCTATAGGATTAAATCCTAGTTTTATCTACTAAAATAGATTAGAATTTAGTTAGACTACTAAATATACTACTATTATAATTAACTTCTAAAGTAGATTTAGACTACTACTATAGCTGGTAGTTAGTTCTAAAAGTTAAGATTAGACTAGTATAAGATCTACTATAAGAATATTAGCTAATTAAAAAATAGAATAAGATCTATTTTTACTAGAGTTCTAATTGATTATATACTATAAGAACTATAAAAAGAAGAAAGATTATAAGAGCTAAGAGTTCTATAACTTTTCTTTAGAGAAGAAAAGTATTATATAGGTGTATCAGTAGGGCCAATAGATCCATAGTCCTAATTCAAGGGATGAATTAGCGACTGTGGGTAATGCTGGCTGAACAGCTATTGTTTTGAATAAGTCCTATTGTTTATTCCTTACATCTAATAACTAGATTTTATTATATTTTAATTCTTTATTTTTAATTATTTAAGAAATTTATTACTATATTAAAATAATAAAAAATTAGAAAAAATTAATAATTAAATTAATATAAATTATTATCAAATATTACTTCTATTATTAAAGAGATTTAATAACTTAAGGATTATATATATTAATTAAAGTAGATTAATAATTTATAATAAAGAATAATCTATTTCTAAGAAAAATATTTTTCTAGTAAAATCTTATTAAGATACTACTAATTATTCTTTAAATTAAATAAGAATAAAAAGAAGATTAAGTTTATTAATATTTTTTATTTTATATTAAACTTTAATTTTAAAAGTATTAAGAATAGATTACTAATCTAGAATATATATTTTAGAAAGTTTTTAGAAAATATTTATTAAAAAATATAACACAAGCCTTGGACCCTCGCTATGCTCGGTATATGGAAGGGTGGGCTGCCTCACAGGCTTTCTTACAGGGCCGTTGGCAGGGCTGTTCCTCACAGGCTTACTCACAGGGCTGTTGGCAGAGCTGTTCCTCGCAGGCTTGCTCGCAGGGCCATTAGCAGGGCTGTTCCTCGCAGACTTGCTTACAGAGCTGTTGACAGGGCTATTCCTCGCAGGGCTGTTTACAGGGCTGTTCCTCACAGGCTTGCTCGCAGGGCTGTTAGTAGGACTGTTCTCGCAGGCTTCCTTATAGGCTTGCTCGCAGGGCTGTTGGCAGGGCTATTCTTCGTAGGCTTCCTTGCAGGCTTGCTTGCAGGGCTGTTAGCAGGGCTGTTCCTCGCAGGCTTACTAGTAAGACTGTTAGCAGGACTATTAGCAGGGCTATTAGTAGGGCTGTTAGCAGGACTTTCCTCACAGACTTACTCATAGGACTATTAGTAGAACTGTTCCTCGCAGGCTTCCTCACAGGCTTGCTCGCAGGGCTGTTAGCAGGACTGTTCTTTATAGGCTTCTCACAGACTTACTCGCAGGGCTGTTAGCAGAACTGTTAGTAGGACTATTTACAAGCTATTCACAGGGCTATTTATAGGACTGTTAGTAGACTTATTAGTAGACTTACTTATAGACTTCTTCACAGGGCTGTCTATAAAGTGGTTAGCAGAATAGTTGATAGGATAATTAGTAGAATAATTGGCAGAATAATTAGTAGAGTAGTTTATAGAATAACTTATATATAGATAGGATATTAAAATCATATAATTTAGAGCTAAAAGTATAGAAATTTTGATAGAGTAGGATTACTAAGTCAGCCAGATAAAAGTAGAATAAACTTTTTATATAAGAAAATACCAAAATTTCTATTTAAAAAATCTAGAAAAATTGAAAAATAGAGATTCTAAGCTAAAAATAGTTTAGACTATAGTAAAAATTCTAATTTATTTATAGAATTTTAAATTTTTAAAAAATATTAAAAATTAAGTCTAAAAAGCTTATATATATAAAAATTTTCTTTTTTCTTAATATCTTATCTATTTAGGCAAGTGGGGCTATAAATTTAATATAGAATAAAAGATAGAATTTTGCTACATATTTTAAGCCTATTTTTAGAAAACTATATAAAGATTTGACTAAGAAATCGACTTTTTAATTGAATTGTAATATTTTTGTATATAATAGTAGTAATTAGTATATTAAGACTTACTACTCCTAAGAAAAAACTAAAAGCTCTTTATTTTCTTTAATTTCTATAGATATTATTAGAACTTAAATATTATTATAATTGGACTGGTTGGTTAAGATACTATATTAACTACTATATATAGAAAGCTATATTACTCTAAAATCAGAAAACTACAATACTTAAAATATACTTCTCTAGTTAGTTAGTCAGATATTCTTAATTAAGATAAGAATATATATCTAAGATAGTTATATCTAATATAAATAAAAAAGAGTATTAAGTATATAATATACTTTAGACTAAATTCTCTAATTCTAAGATTTTTATATATATTAATCCTAAGATATAGTTATTTATTAATTTTAATACTTTAAGAAATAGTTATAATATTATAGTATATTATATCTGTGATAATAAGAAATTCTCTGAGCTTTCTAATTAAGATATTTTAGAATTTCTTCTTCTAGATATTCTAATCTATTATACTATTCTTTTATAGGTCTACTTATAATATAGGGTCTTTTAGATAATCAAATCAACTGTTTAATTAATTAAATTAAGTATTATTAAGAATTTAACTAATTATTTCTATCAAATAAAATATAGTATTAGCTTGATATTCAGTAACCAGTACTCACTTGGGTACTGTACAGTACGTATGAGGTTTCATTATCCTTCGGGCGCCGTGACTATTGTAATATGTACCGAGTTCAAATGAAGCAAAGACACTGCTTAATGGCAGATTAAAGCTTGCCTTATTCTTGAACTATGACTAGACTACTCCTAAGTAATACTCAATAGATGCTACTGTACTCTGTACATGTACATGATCTATATGATTACTTGCTGCGCCTCAAAAGGACAAGACAAATATGCTAGAGGAAAGAGTTTTCGTACAAATCTGCACAGCACTTACATGTGTGGACTGTACTATACTTCCTGTACGTACATACTCGTAGAAATCGTTTCGCTGCAGATTTTGGTTTTTGCTGGCTGCTGTTGACCGCCGTAGCTTAAGTAACCTCAATGTCCGTAAGTTAGTTAACAGGCCCTTGTCAATCCAGGCTATTCCCTGACATCACCTATCGCTTAAAGCTCTCAGAGGCACATGAACCATGTGCGATCGTATCGCCAATGGCACCTAATGAGCGCAGACTGACTCGATTCTCCTCAACGAAGAACAAAATACCAGATGTTACAGAAACGGTTTCTTCAACATTGGCAGCGCAGCTGGTTCCGCGTCTGTGCTCGCAAACCGATCAGACGCGTAGTCTAACCAAAAAAGCTTTTTCACAACTACGACATGAATTACTCGAAGGCAGATACAGCCCGCTACTGTCGAATGTCGGTATCGATAATTTCAGAAAGCTTCTTTGCATTGCCCTCAAAGCTGGCCTAGAGCCATGTATCAAGGATCACAGGCTTCAGCACGAAGACCACCTAAATCAGCTCTGCGACTGCTTGGATATAATTCAGGCTGTCGTTGACAACGCACCCTTAACTCTTGTTGAAATCGCAGATCCGGAAATTCTGGGAGAGGATGAGACGGTCCCTCTGTACTCGTGGCTACTTGTCCGACTCCTCCGAGTTATGGGTATCTGGGAGATAGACAGACTTAGAGAAAAAGTGATTAACATCCTCTCGAGCATAGCGAGCGTCCCGCATAAGCATGGCAGAACTTTTCATTCTTTTATTTGTATCTCTTCATTCTTACGATTATGCACCATGGGTTGGTTTATGTGTCGCATCAGTGTCTGATGTCTCGCTAACGTCCACTAGACCTTCTGCGTTCTCTAGAGGCTTTTCACTTCCAGCGATCATCCGTGGAGTATGCGACCAAATATTCTGTAGTCAGCATGAAGCAGCAATTCTCTATAGACCTCTGGAAACTCCGTCTGCCTCATGGTTCCATAAATGCGAGCATCAATTCAGGAACAGTCCTTCAGAGCGTTTTGCTTTGTGCCGACATGTTTAAGTTCAACATCAACGCTTACATGTTTTCCGATATGCCTTATGATCGGCAGGATATGCTCTGGTTCTTGAATGGTTATCAGCGCCTCTGGGACCTGGCCATCCTCTGGCTTCGCAAGAAGTTTTCAGCACCGAACAAAACCAGCACACAGATATGCGTCCGCGTAGCAGCGGCGGCTGGCGCTCTCTGCACTCAGGGAAAATACGCAGATCAAGACTTCGAGTTGGCTCGCATTGTGCTTTCAAAAGTTGCAGATATGCTGACTGGTGATGATCTGGTCGATTTCCCAATTGTGCAACTCGAAGTGAGCCACCTCCTAGACATAATAGTCGAAATGTGGAGATGTAAAGTGCAGTACGCTAGCATCACGGACAAGTCGGTGTTGCTGAGCTATGCAATGACGAAAAAGAGACCTACGTTTTTTCAATCCTTAGAACCACGTCTGCAGGTGACCGAGCACAAATTGTCTCTTATATGTGTCCATCGTGAGGCTGATTGATAGGTAGGCATCGATTGAGCGTCTCCTGAGCCAAGAATTACCGTTGGAAGCAGAGGATGTCAACGTGTTTGAGCTCTCCGTTTCTCGTGTACGGCACTTGGAACCGGGAGCTGCCAATGGACAACATTTGCGCACTGCTATCCAGTCAGCTGACAATAGCGAAGCTGGTCAAACTCCAAAGCGGCTCTGTGTTGCAGCCTCGAACGCAAGTATATCCGAGCGCAGCATATCACAGAGGCTTGTGTCGGAATTACTCAAGCTTCTTTGTGATCGAGACTCCGGCGATCTCATGGAACTTAGATCTGCTGTTTCGTATGTCGGATTGCTGTAACATGCTACTAAACAATATCCCTAATTAAGATTCTAGGGATTATTTTGGCGGGATCAATGAGCAAGCGAAATGCAAAGTCTTAGACACCCTCGGACTCTTATCCTGCGCTCTAGCTGGAAGCTTGGCACGCATTGACGGAGCTATCTCGAACGACTCATTCCATTGTTGCATTTGTGATGATGAGTACAGGAATGATTCTTTGGGTTCAGATCAGCAATGGCTCAGTGCTGACGGATTATGTGGCGTCTTTACCTCAATTCTCCCTTCACTCTCCCGTGCTGCGACATTGAGACTAGCCGCGATTTCATCTTTACGTAGAGTCATCATGCATGCACCCAATTGCGACTACATACGGCTTGCCAACTCGGCCTTCGGAGACTTCTATGTCCACTCCATGAGGAGCTCTGTGAGAGAGTTGCGTATAATGGCCGGGTATGTACTTCCGAAAATAGGCGGTCCAACCGTGTTGTTAATAATATTTCTAGGTACTCGGTGACATCGTTTGTCCAAAAAAGACTGGATCGGGTCAGTAGGCATGATAATTTCATTAGGATCTTGGAATGGTTACGTGGAATCACAGACAAGAAGGATTTGTATTTCCATGAAAGTTGCATATTGACCCTTTGTCGGCTCGCCAAGTAAGCAGTTCTCGGCTTCCAAAACTACTCACGAGTGTACTAATCCTTCTCGACTATCGTAAGGCACTCTTGTGACGAGGAATTGAACATTATTCTGCTACGTCTCGTTGAATATCTCGGCCACTCGAATCCATTCGTTTGCTCGGTCGCATACACTGAAGTATGTGTAGACCACTGAAACCGGTCTCTAATCTAGTCTTAGACTAACTTCTATCCAGCTTTCCAGACTGGCGCAGAATCTCTTGGTCACTCCCGCTGGCTTGTTTCGACCTTTCTGGAGAACTTTATCTGTTACTGTAGTCAAGAACTTTCAGTCTCGCCCTTACATGGCAGAACAACTGTGTGACCTCCTGGGTATGAAAGTCGATGACTTCTTACGCTTGACCGAGGTTCATGTTTTACCTTACCTTGTGCTCACACAAAAACGAGAGATCATCGCCAGGATGGGTGCCACTTACAAAGAAACCAGGACACCGTTCGATATATGCTCAGAGAAGAACAACCTCGCCGCTGTACTTGCGTTTCTATTGAGTCAGCCATCACCAAACCCGGAAGACAGTATAATGTCTACGTTGTCAATGGTTGATTCCGCCTTCGCAGGGCGTACGTTGGCCGAACTCCTGCGTATCGAACCGATTCTAATCGCCTGTGACATTCTTAAGAATTTGGGTGACTCCAGCGCTAAGAAAGGGGCAAGAGTAAGTGTGCATTCGGTGCTTGCTAGGCCATGCTCACAAATTATACCACAGTTTCACCAAGCGCTACACCTGCTTGCTGCGCTTGTCCCACGAAAATCTACCAATTCGCAGAAACGAGGCAACCTGATAGGTCACTTCATCGAAGAGCACGTCCTTGGCATCATAACACAATTTGCTCACGCCATAAATGATTTCCAAGTTAGACAGTCACTTTTGGAAAAGAAAAGGAATCTCGCAGCCATTGGAGAGATGATAAAGGTTGCTCAAGGTCACGTCAGTAGTGCTTTGCCGCAGGTCTGTTCTATACCTCTCTTACAGATCAGTGCAATTTAGCTAACCTGAAATAGATATGTGCGTGCTTGCGATCCGCACTTGAAATCGATGATTTGTGCAATCATGCGTTCATGGTGTGGGGAGTTTTGATTAACACACTTCAAAAAGAAGAGGTTGAGCCTCTCATTGATCAGACAATCTCTACTGTGATAAAGTACTGGGACAGGTTCACTCAGGAAACACAAGATCATGCTTTCGGACTGGTTAGTCATATCCTACGGCAGCATAGTGATGTGATACGCGATATTTTCCATACGATGCCTTCGCTTTCATCGGTAGCCCGACTAGCCAGCCTTGAGGTAGAGCTCAACGAGCTGAGGGGAAAGATGGACGTTCGAAGCCGATTTCTAGCATTTATCCGTCGCAGCCAGAGTGAAAATGCGGTGGTCATTGAGCAAACCCTCAAGGAGCTGGTTCCCTTTCTTCTTGCCAATGAGGGATTCGTTCATGCCTCGGTGCTCAGCGAACAGCCAGATCCGGTTGTTTCACAGCTGACTCGAGCTTTGCTTGATTGCTGTGTCAAATACAACGCGAGCTCAGAGAATATAACCATTCTCTCGACTCAGTGTCTGGGCTTGATTGGCTGCCTCGATCCCAATTTAGTGGAGACCGTCAAGGAGAAGAAAGATATACTGGTCTTGTCAAATTTTGACAGCAGGGAAGAGACCTTCGATTTCATTCTGTTCTTCCTCCAGCACGTTCTTGTCGAGGCATTTTTGTCTGCTTCCAACACTAGAGCGCAAGGGTTTCTCGCGTACGCAATGCAAAACATGCTCAGATTTTGCAATCTTGACTCAGCCGTGATAAGCCGGTCTCGTGATGTCCAAGGCGAGGAGAAATACCGGCGTTGGATGCAGCTACCTGAAGCTGTTCGCAACATCTTGACTCCATTCCTAACATCCAAATACACGGTCACAATTGGCGCCATTCATGCCAATTGTAAGTATCCTCTCTTCTCTCTGGAGCTGACTCACGGCAACTGGCTTCGATGCTTTGTGCAGGATCTGTTACGAAGTGCCAGTGGTGATAATGCACGACTCATATTCAGCGTCTGCAGTCGTGTCGTCAAGGGGCAGGGTATCTCAATAGCATCATTTCTTTTACCGTTTGCGGTTCTCAACCGCATAATTGGCGGAACCGAGAGTGAGAAGCAAGATTTGCAATGCGAGCTGGTACATATCTTGTCTTATCCTCTCCCAGAATCCAACAAATATGGATACGAGAACATTCTGCTATGCAGTCAGGTTAGTAAGTTTCACCTGGCTCGCAGTTACTGACTAACACGTTGATGTCATATGTCCAGAGTATCTTTGAAGTTCTGGATTATCTTTCGCGATGGCTGCAAGGGAGGAAGAAACAGCTAAATAGCTTCAAACATCACAGCCATCACACCAGTCGTAGCCACAAGGAGGCGTCCCGAGACGTGCTTCTGGATACGTACACTTCGCAGGTGAAAGCTGTGGAAGCATTGTTAGTTTCTATTCCACCAGAGATCATCTCAAGAAGAGCGGTCGAATGCAAGTCATTCTCACGGGCTCTGTTCCATTGGGAGCAATACATCCGTCAATTCAATAGTCAACCCGAGACACGGCAGGAGTCTAGTACTGAATCTCTGTACCAGCGTCTGCAGCATATCTATAGTCAAATTGACGAGCCAGACGGTATTGAAGGTATCTCGTCAAATCTCCATGCCTTGAATATCGAGCAGCAAGTGCTCGAGCATCGCAAGGCAGGAAGATGGGCCACTGCGCAGAGCTGGTATGAGCTACAGGTCCAGAAAGATCCGGATAACGGCGAAGCACAATGGAATCTGCTCACTTGCCTAAAGGAATCAGGACAACAAGGTATGCTAATCTGCATTTGTCCATCGCGGTTTTGTCGACTGACACAAGGTGTACAGATGCCATTCTAACCAGATTCGAGGCCCTCACAAGTACTGTTCCAAGTAGTAGATTTCTGCCCTTTGCAGTAGAAGCATCATGGATTACTGGGAACTGGGATAGGCTACATACTTATCTGCAGCTCAGTTCTCAGGATACACCGGACTTCGATATCGGAGTTGGGTTAGCTTTCGATGCTTTCCGTTGTGGTGACGAAAGGAAATTCGGACAACTCTTGAAAGGTTTGCGACTTAATGTTGCTAAGTCACTCACAGCCAATTCTGTGACATCATTACAGTCATGCCATGCCAGTGTACTAAGGTTGCATGCTCTATGTGAGATTGAACTCATAGTCAATACAAGACATGAGTCTCACATCGAGCCACGAGGCCCAGCCAAAGTGCGCGCAATTCTTGATCGTCGCCTGGAAATTCTTGGAGGATATGTTTCTGACAAACAATATTTGCTTGGTCTCAGGAGGGCATTAATGGAATTAACGTACAGAATTCGCTCCGGAGCTACGATATATGTACCTCATGTACTAACTGTGTATTTAAGGGGCAAATTCACCGACTCCGAGATAGCAGCTGCTTGGCTGGCTAGTGCGCGTCTTCTGCGAAAAGGAAATTACACCAATCAAGCATATCAATCAATGCTTCATGCTGCTCGCCTGAAAGACAGAACAGCCACCATTGAGCACGCCCGGCTTCTCTGGAAAGACGGCCATCACCGAAAAGCGATACAAACGCTTGAAGGTTCAATCATGGCTAACGAATTTTCGCTTTCAGAGGGTTCCGACTCAACGTCCGCATTACGTGAAAAACATCAGAATATTCTTGCGGCTAGAGTATATCACCTTTGCATCCATGCATATACCTATTCTGACTCGGGACATATCTCTCGTAGGCTCACTTACTTCTGGCAAAATGGACAGATCGTGCTGGCCAAACCCAATCGGATGTTATTGTTCAAAAATTCAGAGAAGCCATAAAACTTCAGCCAAGGTACCTACCATGGTTTCCCTGTGTGAATTTCATATTAACCATGTCTAGATGGGAGAAAGCGCACTATTATTTAGGCAAGCACTACAACAAGATATTGGACTCTGAAAAGGCACGGCCTCTAGGGAAAGAGGCTCAGATATAGTCTGTTTTCCCCACCATAAATTCTGTGATGTTGAAGCAATTTCTTCTGACATTTTCTAGTCTGAGTGGCGAGGTCTCGAAGCTCGTCGTTGACAATTATCTGCGATCATTGGCATATGGAAATAAATATGTTTTCCAATCACTGCCGAAGGTGTTGACCCTCTGGCTGGAACATGCATCCATCGTTGAACAGCCATTTGACCCCAAGCGAGGAGACAATGAGTGAGTGGTCTTACTCTCTCTCTTAATTGTGTTGCTGCAACAGCATCTCGTCAGACCCTAGCAATTATTAACATTCCCGGAAAAAGGGACTTCCAGAAACATACCCTGCAGCAGAGGAAAAGGAGCCTCGAGGACATGCATTCGCAGCTGAAAAAGTACATACATCGAATCCCGGCCGCGCTGGTAAGTTTTATGACAACTTTCTGAAATTTTTTGCTAATGAATTCAGCTTTTTACGATTCTCCCTCAAGTGCTAGCTCGAATCTGTCATCCTAATACTACTGTATATGACCTCTTAACAAAGATTGTGGCAAAAGCTGTAAATTCCTTCCCTCAGCAAGGGCTATGGACTGTTCTCGCCGTGGTCAAGTCGTCTTCTAGAGACAGAGCCTCAAGAGGCATTAGTTGTCTTCAAAGGGTCACAGTACGTCAAACGGATGAACAAGGTGTATTCTCAGTACTAATAAAAGCAGGACATAAACAAGAAATCAAAAGCAGAGCCACCCATCTCCGATATTCGCGCGATGATCAATCAAGGGCAAAAATTTTCAGACGAAATGCTAAGACTATGCATAGCACGCATTGAAGAGAAGGTATCGAGGGTGAACCTCAGAGCCCTTGGCTTCAATCACAAAGTGGCACCTTGTCAACTTGTCGTGCCGTTCCAGGCAATGTTAACACCGATCTTGCCAGTTAGTCATGACTCGGAGTATTTGAAAAGCTTTAGAGCTTTCCCAAGAGACGCGACCACGATCGAAGGTGATCGAATCTCAATTCATACTCTTGCCTTGTATGCTAACCAGAGATAGCTGTTCTCGATGATGCTCAAATCCTCAATTCACTTCAAAAACCGCGCCGTATCAGTATTCGAGGGTCCGATGGAAGGATATACAACGTATTATGCAAACCCAAGGATGACCTTCGCAAGGATCAGCGTCTCATGGAGTTCAACAACATGATTAACAGATTTCTGAAGAGAGACGTTGAGTCAAGCAAGCGTCGAATGTGTAGGCATTTTACTACTAGAGTACTTTTCCCTTTATTGTCTACTAATCTATTGTGTGACTCGATAGACATCAAAACGTATGCTGTGACGCCTTTGAATGAAGAATGCGGACTGATCGAATGGGTTGACAATCTTCGTACTTTGAGAGAACTTGTTCTCAAGCTTCTGAAGGAGAGAGGGATATCGCCAAATGTGAGCTAACTACCTTGAAGCTGGTGGAGAGCAGAGTGCTGACCTAGCTCTCGTCACAGTACAACGAAATACGGCATATTCTCAATGAGGCATGCTCAGACTTCTCAAAAGTTTCTTTGTTTAGAACCAAGATTCTTGATAAGTACATATCATGACAGACAGCCCGCGTCGCAGGCTGGTTGAGCTAAAGACTTGCTAGATTCCCTCCAGTCCTCTACGACTGGTTTGTCGAGATGTTTCCCGAGACAGAAGCCTGGTTTTCAGCCAGGATTCGTTACACCAGATCGTGCGCTGTTATGTCAATGGTCGGTTATGTCTTGGGGTAAGTCGGATGGGTTGCAAATTTTCAGTAGTTTCGAGCATTTTACTGATCAACTCCAATAGGTTAGGTGATCGTCATGGTGAGAATATCCTTTTTGAGGAAGGGACGGGTGGAGTACTACATGTTGACTTCAATTGCCTTTTTGACAAGGTACGTCTAAAGGCCAGAATAAGAGCCAGGCCCTTATAGATTGACTCTTGTCCAGGGCTTGACTTTTGATAAACCTGAGCTGGTTCCTTTCCGCTTGACACAGAACATGGTTGATGCATTTGGCGCCTACGGGTATAATGGTTAGTGGGTTACGAATCCTGGTAACACGAGCTTCGAAACGTTGACAAACACACGCACAGGCCCCTACCGCAAGACCTGCGAAATAAGCTTGGGATTGCTTCGTCACAATGAGGATGCACTCATGACTGTCCTCGAAACTTTCCTGCACGATCCAACCACAGATTTTATTGGGAAGAAGGTAAGCGCGTCGAGTCCCGGTAGAAACTCATTCTTACTTGAATGTCATAGCGCCGCACACAATACGCAAGTGTGCCTGATACCCCTGCTGGTGTACTAGAAAATGTTCGAAACAAACTCCGGGGTCTTCTACCTGGTGAATCCGTCCCGCTATCCGTGGATGGCCATGTTGATGACTTAATTGTGCGGGCAACTGATGAACGAAATCTAGCAGCTATGTATATTGGGTGGTGTTCATTTTTCTAGATCGAACCAGATTTGAGCTTGCATTCATCAAAATGAAAAAACAACAGCTCTTTTTGTAGAGTACATAGAACCATAGGGAGCTGCTGGCCAAACATCCTGAGTATGAACATTGAATTGTGATCAATTGTCGCTACTTTACGTCGGAGGACTTGGAAGAACTGATCATTAAATTTGCGTTGGGGCTAATCATCCAGGATCAAAAATATAACTGCAAATTATCGTTCGTCCATAAGATCAGAACACGCCCATTGAGCGTCTATCTCACCGTATCATGTCAGTAACGGGCTCTGTTCAGGCTGGGGCTCCGACTCCTATCACTACAGCTGCTATATTCATAACTGCTGTAGCTGGGACTGCGCCGTCGACGAGGACGACTATTTCCTCGCGAGTGCGTCATCCGTCTTCTTGGTGATACCGACGGAGTTCTTGAATATGATCGTGAACGGCGAAGAGATCGAGAGCGCGAAGGAGATCGTGGCCGATAGATGTCATGCCTATCCATAGGTCGTGAACGCCTGGCCCTTCGCGGAGAGGTCTGCCTCTGCTGAAAAGGTGAACGGCGAGAAGCACGACTATCCAAGAGTTGTCCGCGACCATGACCTTGACGGCTGAAGCTACCTCTCTTGCGCTGACTTTGTGGCGGCGGTGAGCGCGAGAATGCTCGCCTGGGTAGGACAATGGACACACTCAAGACAGCTCCATCCAGCTGCGCTTCGTGCATATGTGCAATAGCAGCCTCCGCATCAGCAGGATCGTGGTATAGAATGTAGGCAGTTCCTCTATTGGTTAGGACTGCGACTAGTTAGCATCCTTGACTCCCGTGTTCTACGGGACACCGATCAACTTGCAGGCTTTATTCATAGGTAGATCAAGACTTTGTATAACCCCAAATTCGCCGAAGATCTCGTAAATATGTGACTCGGACACATTCTTTGTGAGTTTTTCTACAACGATCTTGACTGCGGTTAGCGTGGAGACATGTCGATAGGTGTGTCCATGTTCAACAAACCTTGGAGCTTCGTGGCAAGACGACTGAGGGACTGGGTGATCGGCTGTAATCATCCTCCCCACGCAATCTTGAATCTTGACTCCGACTTCGACTATAAGAACGTGTGCGAGAGCGAGATTGGCTTGTGAACCGATTGCCACTGCGCCGGCCGGGGGTGCGATCGATGGGTGGACTGCGCGTCACGCTCTTGTACCTGGACTCCGAACGAGATGATGGAGATCGTCGCGATGGTCTGGCGTCTCGACTGAGAATGGAGAGTCGCGGTGAGCGGTCCGTAGAGAAATTTCGAGGCGTATCAGACATGATGCATGACCTAAGGCTGGGGAGCCGATTCAAGAATCTGGGTGTAAGTTACGCGCGATTGATAGCCTGGGATAGCATTGAGGGAGATTCGCAGCATCTGGAAAGTAATGCCGGCACGGAGGGCGGAAGGTGTGGAATTCCGCCGCCCCACCTTTAATGAATTTAGACATGTTAGCTAACTTACTTGCATCTTGCTGTGTACACCTTGCTTTGCTTCGATCTTTTGTCTGTCAATGATACGGTGTTGATTCTATACAGGGAGAGATGTCTGTTTTCGAATCAATTATGCGTGTCCCCATGTCCAAAGTCTCACTTTGTAGTACAGATACTGATATATTTATAGCTACCTTTCTAAAGGTCGGTCGAGCTACCCCACCTTTCATACTCCTCAACAACGGCGGCTGTTATCTGCCTGCGAACTTGGTGAAGAGCATATTCGAAATGCTCCATTCGAATGTCCTGCTCATGCCCCGTTTCATCTTCCTCATCTAATGCAGCATCGCCGGCTGTCTCACATATACTGACAATCTCCGCTCCGGAGTAGCCTTCCATTTTCCGAGCTAGGAGCTCTACCTCTACGTCTGGATGGATCCTAGACTTACTGAACCAAATGCTCAAAATCTCCTTCCGGGCCTCGAAATCTGGCGGCCCGATATAGAGGATGTTATCCAGACGACCGGGGCGCATCAAAGCAGGGTCAATGACCTCAGGCTTGTTGGTTGCGGCAATAACCAACACATTCTTGAGCTCTTCAATTCCATCCATCTCGTTCAAAAGTGTGGTGAGGACGTTGACCCCGCCCTGAGATGAGCTGCCACGCCTCGAGGCGATCGCATCGATTTCGTCGAAGAAGACGATGCTAGGTCTGGCAGATCGTGCCTTTCGAAAAATTTCTCGTAATGCCCTTTCTGACTCTCCAACGTACATGCTAAGGATTTCAGCGCCCTTAACTGCCAGAAAGTTTAATCCCGCTTCCGTGGCCAGTGCTTTCACAGTCAATGTCTTGGAGCAGCCGGGAGGTCCATATAACAGGATTCCTTTTTTGCTGTTCACATTCAGTCTCTTCATTCTTTGCGGATGCTGTTTCAGACATTAGCCATGTCAAAGAATCGTCAAGATAAAGTACTTTACCTTGAGAGGTCTCTCAACTGCCTTTTGGAGGCGCTTCTTGATCTCATGCTGCCCGCCAATGTCCGACCATTTCACTTTTGGTGTTTCCAAGAAAACTTCCCGCATAGCAGTCGGGCGTGTCTCCTGTAGGGCGGAGACAATATCAACATCCTCAATAATGAGCGGTTTTTTTGCTTCTAATGCCATTAGACCGTCTGCCGAGTCAACAATCGAAGTACAAGCAAAAATTTCGCTTGACTGGCGTTTCCGTGCCTTTCGGCACACCAATTGAAGCAAAGCGAACAAATCAGCACCGACATAACCATGTGTCTTTTCCGCTATAAGATTTATTAGAGCATCGCTCAGCGTCGAGGACGAATTTCCACAAATGGCACGTAAGATTTCGCCTCGAGCCTGCGCGGTCGGCACTTGAAGCTCAATTTCAGTTGCTAATCGATGTGGTGTCCGTAAAACATCATCAACATCGTTTGGGTGTCGGGTTGCGGCCACAACCAAGACTAGAGCACCCTTCACCATGTCTAAGCATTCACACAAAGTAGCTGTCAGTGAATGAGTATCCATGCCCGTTCTCCTGGGAGCTATATACTCGAGTTGATCAATGATTATAGCACTCGGTTGACAACGCATTGCCTCTTGAAAGGCATTGCGCAGCTTGACTTCGGCGTCACCTGTGTTCCTGCCAGATGTAGAAGAGCTGATATTGAACGTTTTCCTCCATCCTGCCCCCCGTATTTGTTCCAGGAGTGCCGTCTTGCCAGTACCTTTGGGGCCATAGAGCAAAATACCCCGGCTATGCTCATAGAAAGCAGGCATGACCAGGGTACTGGCATCCGAGCTGAAATCAGCAAGACTCTCATTGATGCTATCAATCTGCGACTGCATCCCACCCAGACCGGTTGAGTGCACACGGAGATAGGACTTATTTTGTTCCAATGGCACCACATCCTCACCAATGAAGATTTTGCTAGTATCAGTGAACTTGAGCAAGGTACTACCATCACGGCTTAGGCTTGACATGTTGGCCACTTTGAAAGTGCGTCGCTGGCCTTTAAGCTCCAGCTCAAAAACCAGGCCAATGGCAATCGCATCGCATCTTCCCAAAGGAAATTCAAGTGACCAGGCCCAGTACTTAATATCGTTAGGCGGTATGGTGCCAAATCTTGTAATCTTGTCATCGTCTGAGCAGTCCACTAACGAGACCGTTTGCGCCTCTTGTAGGGGCGCGTCGACTTTACTAATCGCGACTTTTTCGCCAATTTTGAATCCATAGCATTCTTGAAGAGTCCTAGATGTTTGTACGACCGTGTTTTGAATGTTTTCGACCGCATTCCAGGCTATAGCATATTTGGATGCTTCGCCAGGTACATAAAGTGCACAGACATCGCCAGCCCGAAGTCTAAGAGAAGCCAGCGAGGAAGATGATAGGTAGACGCGAAAAGCATCTCGATGGTCGTTTCTGGTCTGCTTCGAGAGTGGCCGAACGGTAAAAGACCGAGTCTCGGCCATTGTATTATGCAAGATTTAGTGTTGGCGGCCAGACAACTTGGTCTCGAATTCTGTTTTTTTCGTATATAAGAGGATGAGTCAGGGGATGAAGAAGGCTGTGGGTAATGAGATGAGATCGGATGCTGATTAAATCATTTCTGGAGGAAAGGGATGGGGAATAATTGCGCGTAGTTCGGGAAGTGTTAATACTTCGAATGCTTGTGGAGGGCTTCCTTATGAGAAGAGTAAACCGTCAGTGTCAAGAGTTCGTTCAATTCAGGTCTATATGTAAAAGGAAGTATATGTATATGCTTGATGAGCTTTGATTTTTTCTGTTGCGGTGGGCGGGGAATTATGCATAAATGCCCCACTCGCAGATACCAGCAGAGAGCCAATTATCTGCAACATTACCTTTAACAAGGGTTTCAAACACAAGAGCTTCATTTTCTTGGGAGGCGATCTGAAGATCAACATTGACTTGAGTTACCTGCTATGAAAACAGATGATCAAATTAGCTTCCTACCAGTGTCTGCCTGCACCCTCCAAGTCGCTGCTATGGAAGTCAAAAGGACAAATATGTTAATACCTACTGTGCCGTAACTGTGAACACCTGATACTCTGTACTGGCCTTATCCGATGTGCTCTGTGTAAGTGAACCTTTCAAGGCGCCCTTTACAGGGTCGCAGACATTTGTATCTACTCTTGAGCTTGATGGCGCGATTGATTCAGCACCAATGCTTGGAGCATAGGGTTTGTCGAGAAGTCCATGCCGAACATACAGACGGATTTGTATGCTACCAGCAAACGTTCCTCCATTCAAGTCCACTCATGTTCATGATTCACGGTCAGTCTCAGAGAAGCATACCAATACCTGTAGACTTAGACTGTCTGGCGCTGAAGCAGGATGATCAAGATCTCTATCATGCATATCACGATCTTTGAAGAGCTACAATCCATTGGCAAAAAACGACATCGATTCCTATGAAAAGAATGGACTAGCTTACGCCAGATGCAGCCTTATACTCTGCTTCGTGTTACATATACAACGCCCACGTCAGGATTTGATTAGAGTGGTTTGATAGAGCCAGAGTGATCGATATCGAAAATGAAGGAGCAAGCGCAAAGAGGAGATTGCAAAAATGAAATAACAGTGATGTACCTCCAAATAAGCATATATCTCAGCGCCAAGACTTTCATACAACCGGGATGTTGCCTTTGCATCTACTGACGTGAGAGCCTTAGTATATTCAATCCATGACACATAAAACGGCCAAAAATGGGGCGAAGTGCAGGGCCATAAAGGAACAAGAAGGGTATGAAGAGCATTCCGAAGTGCCAATTGGGATTAGCAACACTTCCCACTTGTGTTGCCATTCAAGCCAGAACCTTGCTGATCTATACTAACACCCTGAGAGCTGACTTGTTCAGACTTTGATGTATCCATTCCTTTCTTGATATCTGCAGCAAGATCATAGAAAGCTTTTTCTATGTTGATGTTGTTCTTAGCCGAGACCTCTAGGAATGGAATACCAAGCTCATCAGCTAGTTGCTGGCCTTGCTCGGTTGACACTGCTCGCTTCTCTTCCCAATCACACTTGTTGCCAATGAGTATCTTGTGAACACCTTCACTTGCGTGTTGCTCCACATTGGAGAACCATGTACGGATATCTGATTCGGTGATCGGGGCATTAGTAAATGACTGATACGGATATGTCCAGCTGAACTCCTTACTTTGGAACGACCTTTCGTCGGTGACATCATAAACAAGCAAAATCCCCATTGCCCCTCTGTAATATGCTGTTGTGATTGTTCTAAAGCGCTCTTGCCCAGCCGTGTCCCATATTTGAAGCTTAACACGTTTGCCGTCGAGCTCGATAGTACGGATCTTGAAATCAATGCCAATAGTGGTAATGAAAGACGGTGTAAACGAATCTTCGCTGAATCGCAGTAGACAGCATGATTTACCGACGCCCGAGTCTCCGATCAGCAATAATTTGATCTGGGAGCAGACAGAGTTAGTAAAAATGAATCGTCAGTGCGGAAAATGTCACTCACCAAGAAGTCGTAATTCCTTGTACCAGCCATAATGGACTGGCCCTGAACACAGAGGTCCACTGAGGTCAAGATAAAGAAACGCCCCAGGTGATGAGCTTCTGCTCAAAGTCGAGACTTATGTGGAGCGAATATCGGTTTCTTGTTCGCTCCTCAGCCCTCGCTTTATCTTTTCTGATGGCTATCAGTGCACCATTCCTGTAGTATCTTTTGTTTGAGGTAAAAAAAAAAGCAGCATGTACCCTGTGTTGGTTTTCCGACTCTTTCGCGCACGGCACTCGAGAATATGGCCGTTGAGATGCCGAATGTTACCCGAATGGTGACAGTGATGGCTTGAAGGACTGCAACGATTCAAGCGTTTACCCTGAATACAAGGGGGTCAGGGGCCGGGACGAGGCAACAAAAGGAAAGCGGTTATATAATATTTTGAGCTTACTTTGCCTCAAAGCTCTGAGTCGGTCCCAACCGAGTTGAAAAAGAAGTACGGGAGAGAGGGGGGTGTGCCTTGAAAAATGTTTAATGTCAAATGATGTCTGCAATAAGATGCCAAGTTTGAGTAGGCTAAAGTAGGGATGCAACCGAACACTTGCGTGTGTACAACGTAGGCCCCCGAAGGCGGAGTAAGAACTCCGTGGATCAATGGTAATACATGCGCTACAGTATCGAACCGCTTGCCCCATACATACACCCGGCGCGCCGCCTTCGACATACCTTGAGACCCTCACGTACCGCCTGGCAGTGGTTTACACTCTGTATGTAATACCTAGATCTTACATGACGCAAGGAAACAGCTTGTCAGTATAAATTGAAACATTGAGCTGTCAGCCCTCCTAGTAAGTACTATGAAGTATCAGCTACCCAGAACAATGCTATGTGGGTCAGCCGGTCACCGTCACTTGAACCCCTCCACCATTATCTGTCTGTACAGTACATACCGTAAGTACCTCCCTTCTCCTCGGAACAACCTCCTCCGGCTTTGACTTGAACCATGACCTCTGATAGCTATAGGATATCATCACCTTCTGATCGCCTGGTGCATCCTGACAGAGAAGGCCAGACCTCGGATTAGCCATATAATTACCACAAAGGCGCCGCAACTTTGGTGCTTGACCTGGATGAATTCCACGTTGACTCAGACTTAGTTCCCTTGGCTGAGTGCTTGTACAAGACACAATATGGTGACTTTACAGCCATCGAGAATAAACCCACCCCATCCGTTCAATAACCTTGAGTTGTTGTTTTGCACTGTTCTTACTGATAATGTCCTTGATGTCTTCCCGGAATGCATGGAAATCAGCACCTCCTAGAATAGCTTGCGCTTTCTGAAGTAGGACCTCGGTATTGCATATAAGCAGACCGTAATCTTTGAAGCTGAGAGTACCGCGGGTGGACATAGTCGATAAAGTCAGATTACGATGCACTTGCCTAGAATAGATCCTATCAGATTCGGCTCGGGTCCTGATGAGGACAGGCCTACTTACCTCAGCGCGTGCCTTAATGCATGCTGCCGCCGACCGATGCGCAAACCCTTCCTACTGCCGAACAAGCCAAGGAGCCAACGAATTGAGGCATATGACACCAATAGACCGGGCGTCAGTCCGACGAAGCTATGGTATGTTAGCTTCACTCTCCCTCGTGAGAGGAAGTTTAATACTTACCCAAACACGAGCTCCTGACTCTTCAGTAAAGCATCAATGCCACCAATGGCAACCTCAACATCTACCTTTGTCTTTTGGATCTGTATCAGGAGTGTCCGTATCAAGTCACCTCGGACGGTTCCAATAAACGGCGTTCGTAGGTCCTTCTCATATGCCCTCAACACCGGCGTGAGATCACCTTCCCTGACTTTTGCCGTGATGGTGCCGATTTCTGCAGACACCAGAGACTCATCACTGGACTTGCGATGATCTAGAACAAAATCCACCACCATTCTTTCCAGACTAGCGCGATCAGCTTCCAGACTATTTTTGCTCATTAAGGCAATTTCACTCTTTTCATCGTGTCTTATGGTGCGAACGAGTCGTCTCAAAGGATCGATAACCCAGTTGTTCCAGAATTCGATCGTCGTTGATCCGGCATCTGTAACCAACCTGACAAGCTCGCGCCGACGAGCTGTGAATATCTCAAGAACTGTACTGGTTGACAGGGTTGCCAAGAAGAATACAAGCCAGTAGCGTACTATGAACGGAGGTCGCCCGAGCTCACTGTCATTGCTCTTTGTAAGCGCATTATACTGCGGGATTAATGTTCGGTGTATGTGTTCGAGTTTCTCGATGACATATTCTGGTCCCCTGGACCGCATGTTCTGATCCAGATGCATGCTGAGCAATGAACCTTCTTCCTCAGAGGTTACCGTGATTCTTGTTTCGAAATCATGGAGCGTGCCTGCGAGCAGATGTCGAAGCACTAACTCCAACCAAGTCACACTTTTCAAAACATTAGTGCACCAGTCGTCACTAAGAGTGCCGCCGCTATAACACTCTTCCAATTCATTATCAAGTTCAAACTGAAAGCATCGATCCATCAAGATACCCAGCGCGCTAGCATTTATGTCTTTCACCACATGCAGTAGTTTCCGTTGCTGCCGTATATGCAGTTTGGATGCAAGAAGTGGATACACTAAGCTCTTTCGTAAGGTAGATACCGTAATAGACGACACGCACCGACGGGCTGAGTCATAAAGATGAATCCACGAAGGCGAGATGTGAGATGCTTGGTTCCAGGCTCCGGGGTAAGACCGGGCAGAGAATTGACGTCCGAGCCTGTGCCAAAGCCACACGGGAGATGTCTGCAAGGTATACAGTCCTACGTACCACTGGGATTCCAGAAGGCTGTCCCAGTAAGTCGCCTCATCAACGAAGACAAGCGTGTTCTCGGAAAGAGTCTTTAGCGTTATGCCATATGTTTGAATGGAAGCTCTAGTGGCCGCAATCCAAGCTAGATCTGATATTGCTGATCTGTGCGGAGGCAGTTCTGGTGAGGTCCCGCAAGATATTGCTGGATTCTTGGGGAAATACGAGATCAATCGCGCGACCCTGTTAGCGGACATAAGTGGATTTGATTTTGATGCCACGGAAAGCAATTCGGAAAGACGCTCCAACGATTCTGTACTATGGAGTGTGCTGGCATCACTATGATTTTCCGGAAACTCTATCACTGAGCTGTTCGTGATCCGCTGCTGTAAAGTGTGAAGCTGTATATCTAGATTGTTGATTTTGCTATTGTCCAGTAAGCGGAAAGTGAGAGAAATTGATAGAGAGAAGTATTACTTACTCATTGACCACGAACATGGTTGGAGTTGACCCGAAGCACTAAGGGTCAAGTCGAGATGCGTTGTTAGAAAGAAACCTAGAAATTCATACTCCCTAGGTGGAAGTAGCCTACCGTACCTGTCAAGTTCGAGTTCTACCGCAGTCAACGGATGGCGTCACATTTAGTAAGCAGCACAGTTTGTGCTCGGTCCAAGCTCGGTACTCCGTTGTTCACACAGTAGACTAGACAGCGGAGCAGTACCTCGGCCTACACAGTACTCAAAATGATAAGGTAGTCTAGCAATTATCGCCTGGTATGTAGATACTAACTAGTCAGTACCTTTCTTGAATCACATAGTGATTACCAGCTACTTTACTTGAGCGCTCAACAGTAATACAAGTACTGTCTTGATACTACCTAGATCTGTTTCATTAGTTCGAGTAACGACCAAATGGTCGATGCATATAACTAGTCCGGCCATCCTTGCAGTGATTTTAAAGATCAACTATGTTCTAATTCGGTTTCCTTATCATACATCGGGTTATGCGGGGCACCGATCAATTTCTATGACTCTGTACTATGACCTCGTTCTGATATGTGATATAGCTGAAAAAATACGTACCAGTAGTACGTAGAGTATATTTCGTATGTGTACCAGATGGATGACTCGAGGCTCCAACTTTCATACCCACAATAGCTATCTCTCACATGATACAATATACTCTGTACTTACTGCACTTTGATCCTGTTCGAAGATCTGATCGGGACGGCAAGGATCTGGAAGGGACATCTGTATGAAACACCGGCGCCAAGGCACTCACTCACCCGTGACCTAGCACCATTCTGCAAGGGGAATTGCAGTAATAAAACTACTCCGTACTCCGTAGCCACACGGACCACGGCAGGCCTAACGGCTTCTGCTCTGTTAGACTCGGAGTAATGCGGCAAAGAGTCAACTGGTAAATACGGAGTAATTTAAGAGTTAGTGAGTACTAGGTGGTACGGCAGTTAGCTCAGAAAAGCCTATAGTCAGCGTGTTCGAGATTGACCCGTGGTGATTGGAGATGATCATGGAACATACCAAGCCATTCCCAACCAGGGTGGAGCTAAAATCGGCCCCAATCGGCTAGGTAGTGGTGCCAGCCTGGAAAGATTGCGGCCAGGGGGTAGCCGAAGAAATCTCGCCACCCCGGGAACAATGGTCCTGATGGCGCGTTCTCTACCCGGCTTTTCTAAATACTTGCTAGGTACCTTCCACTTACTTTCACACAAGTTGTTAGACACAAATCCTACTTTCCTGTCCTTCCCTTCCTCTTCGAACTCACTTGGAGGACGATACATTCTTACTTCTCGTTCCCTTCCCCATCTCATAGACCCTGTATTTGTACCTGCACACCCAGCCATTTGGAACACATTGCCATCAATTTATTTCGCTTGCCCCTGATTCAAAGATTCTGGGAAAGGAATAGCTGAAGGCAAGCCGATCACCTGATCTAATGATGTGAGCCCTCCCCACGCGATTCGACTTGTTGGGGTCTCTTGGAACATCGCGACTAAGATCGGATAGGAATACAACGTCGGTTTCGACCCCAGAAACCTACTGGGGGCAATTTGAGGAAATTTCCAAATACAACACCCATCTCAACATCGTCGAACGGCTCTGGACAGCCTGGTACGCCTGGATGCAGAATGATGTTCTGGCGACAGGCATCATGTCCTTCATGATGCATGAACTCGTCTACTTTGGACGCTCGCTGCCATGGATTCTCATAGATAGCTTGGGATTCTTTAAAAATTACAAAATTCAGGGTGTATGTACGTCCCGCCAAGCAACTGGCTTCGGGTTATAATTAACGGCATACAGAACAAGGTCCCGTCCTTGCGCGAACAGTGGGATTGTGCCAAGTTCGTGCTTCTTAGTCACTTCACCGTTGAATTGCCTCAGATTTGGTAAGCTCGACCAGTATGCTGATTGTCCTTAATTCCTGAATCTTATTTCCTCCCAGGCTCTTCCATCCTATGGCTCAATTTTTCGGCCTTTCGACCTCCGTCCCATTCCCCTCAATTTGGACTATGGCTTACCAGATCGCAATTTTCTTCATCCTGGAAGACACGTGGCACTATTTCTCTCATCGCGCCCTTCATTGGGGGCCACTCTACAAGGCCATCCACAAGATCCACCACCAATACTCCGCGCCCTTCGGTATGGCTGCCGAATATGCCTCGCCAATTGAAGTTATGATTCTCGGATTTGGTACCGTAGGCTGCCCCATTCTGTGGTGTGCCTTGACTGGGGACTTGCATATCTTTACCATGTACATTTGGATTGTCTTGCGGCTGTTCCAGGCGATTGATGCACACAGCGGCTACGAATTCCCTTGGAGTCTCCATCATTTCCTTCCTTTCTGGGCTGGAGCCGATCACCACGATCTCCACCATGAGAAGTTCGTCGGTAACTACTCGAGCAGCTTCAGATGGTGGGATTACATGCTGGACACCGAATATTCTCCAGAGGCGATCAAGCGCAGAAGGCAAAATAAATTCGCTGGGGATGTGAAAAAAGGTCAATAATGTGACGGCTTCCTGCGCTCATGTGCGCATATTTGTTCGAAGCCCCATGTCATGGCTACTCGAGCACATGCCAATTTCTGAACAGAGATTTCCTCAAGCTGAAGTCCGCGAATATCAGAAAGGGCTTCAGTTTCATATTACTTAATTAACGTTGGAATGCTAAGGGCATAGACTAAGATTTTTAATTATGCTTCTGAATGAGACTTATTGAATAGACTTAACTATATAATTACTATAAAATAACTTTAATTATAGATAATATTTCTTAAAAGTTTATATTTCATAGTATAAAATAATCTATTCTATCATTCTATTACTACTAAGTATCAAGTACCAGACAAATAGTTGAAGTTCTATTTTGTCAGTGATAGCTATAGTGAGAAAACGACGGTTCGTTGTCGCGCCGATTCGCTGTTTGATTACGTTATTAGTAATCCTCTGTTCGCTTTTTACAAATATAAGCTGCTCTTGAACCACATTGAAATGCGAGACTCATGGTATAGTTCCGGTCATCAAAACGCATCATGTATCAGAGTACCCATTACCTCTTGTGCGTCATGATTGTAGCTTGGTACGAACGCACACTTCGCCATTCGACTAAGACCCGGTTGTTGCATAGCTCTACAACCAGCGAACGAAAGCCTATTTGCATCTAGGAAGGATAAATATCTGACAGCAAAATCCAGGTGCATTGCGCGAATCTAAACCCGCGAGAAGAAGTAAAGGTAGGCAGATCTCTTCAGCTCTCGTACATCATCCACCTGGACCACCTTTTCATCATTGTACATGATCCAGGAGGGGTCTTTCTCGCCCGGTAAGGTTTTGCGTACGACTGCGACATAGTGACTAGTTCAAAGATCAGCATGGTTCGAAAGATCTCAAAATTGACTTACCCAGCATGTACAGAGGAGCCTTTATGGCACACAATCGATTGAAGGCGGTAGCAGGCTGGGATAGCATCGAAACCTACTGTACGGTTACTTGAACTGCTATTCACCTTAGCCACATTTCCAATGTCTGTCGAGGGTTCTGGATGGCTGAAAACCCAGTCAATTGCTCGGTTGACATCATTCCCAACCGCAGCCAATGCGATCCGAGCCCGATCAACGTCGATACCCATCTCAGACAACTGCATTATTTGAGCTGAGTCGTGCTGAGCTTCAGTCAATGTCTCCACAGGACCTCCTTGAAAGAGAGGCTCATCAATATTGGGATCGTCCGTATGTGTAAATAACCAATTCATCGCAGCTTCGGCGTCTGAGTTGCCTGTCATATACAGCGACTTCTCACTCCTGTTTTGAGGAAATCCCATGCCAAGCAACTGGCTAAGAGCGACCTCATTGGGCATGAACGTTTGAGGAGACGACTCAATATCCGGGAGTAGCTCTTCATCTTCATTGGGACCGGACGCGAGATACTTAGTGAAGTCTATTGGTCCGTCATCCACTTCGACAGGAATGTCGAGCTTTGTTGGTACCCAATTAACTAATTCGAAACGCCGGGCGTTGATGACCAGCTCCTGCGGTAATGTCCTGAATGAGGAGCGCTTGGAGAAGCCACCCTCGCTGTTGCAGGAAGGACAGCGTAATTCCACTTTCTCTTCACTGGTAAAGGCATCGAGACATTCCGATATAGTCACACTTTGGTACCTGGCGTTGGTATCTCCGCCATATGAAGAGTCTGAATGGCGAGCAGGAACGGAAAGAGATATATTATCTTGTTGATCCACTTTGTATCGAACTCTTTTGCAGTGCAGGCATTGGAGACGTTGCTCCACAGAGAAAGCAAACGACTCTATTGGGTTGCATGATCTTTCTGGATGTTTGGATAAACTGACAAGCTTGAAGATGTGGAGGAGGAATTCAAAAGCATCCTGTTGTCTCATTGTGGAGAACTCTTCATGACCACGACCGACCAGATGCTTGAACATGGCTGGGGCGAGACCTTTCTGGTGCGGAACTTCAACGGTGTCAGGCGAGGCGCTCACATCGGTCGCAGGTCTAGAGTAACGACCAGAGAGGATTCCATCGGCCAATTTGCGCATTTGTGTCTCCAGATCTTCAGCAGGCTTTGTTGACGATGGGGGCTCTTCATCTTCGTGGTAGTATCGGTCTGAAAACTCTGGCAAACTGAAAAGGCATTGTATCACACTTGATAAGTAGCAGCTGTTGCCTAAATTTTTAAGGCCCGTAAGGCCAGGACCAAATACCGGTCTAAGCTCGTGGCCGTCCTCTGTAGTCATGGAAAACTCCCATCTCAGATTGTGCTCGACCTGCATTTCCATCAAGCTCTTCTCGGTTTTCTCTCTGTCTGCTAAATTGATCCCCCAGTTCCCGAGGTGTCCGGCAAGATCAGGATCAATTCTTTCCTCGTTACACTTATAGCAAAAGACATCGGCGGAACCCTCGGCAGTTATTGAACCTAGTTTCACGGCAACAGCATGGGAGGTCGATTCGAAATGCGCGAGGCCATGAGAGTTGCCGCCCACGCCGCCAAATTGACTTCGGCCACAGCCAAGGTTGCCACATTCTAGACATAACCAGAGATTCTCTTTGAGATTGCACATCGAACATGACGCAAGTTCTGCATGTTTGACTGTGAGAATCATGGGAAATAGGTACATTAGAAGCAAAACTTACCTTGCGATTCGAGTTGCCTCGAGCTGCGTTGCTCAATGCAAAGGGTATGTTCGCAGGGAGTGAACTCTTGCTCCCAGGCTTTGACTTCTTCTCTTCTGGAAAAGGGTGTAGCCGACATGACGCCGTCAATGACTGGTGGTAGCTTGCCAGTTGCCTGATCGATGTCATCTTGGCAGCAGTGATAACAAAGAACACGAGTGTTCATATCATAGCGGTCATCGTCTGTTTCAGCAGCGATTGCAAGTTTCGAAACTTTTTGAGGGGGCTCGTCCCTCTACAACGCCTTGATAAGTACAGACTCATGGAGTATGTAGATGTGAGAGGTAAACCCACTTGAATCTTTTTGCGCGACCGCTTGATGTTGAGGGCCAGGGGATGGCCGAACCGTTTAAAATGCATAAGAGCGTGGTCTCTATTATGAGCACAGCCACCATTGAAGCACGACAGGCACACATTGATCCCACAATCATCATCCTGTAACACATGAGCTTCCGGCTGTAGGACTAACATCGAGAAAACTGCATACTACTGAATCAAAACATTGCGTGCAATCTTCTCTATATACCACTTGTGATGGGGACGGGGGTTTCAGCTCTAGTGTAGGTTAGCAGACTGGGATTGTAAAAGCAATTTCAGCTAAACATATGCAAGATATGATAGACCGGATCTGACTTGCCATCTGAATTAACATGGAAACAAGCAGCCATGTTGGCCTAACCAAAGACCTGTGTATCAGAAGAGTTTGGGGTGTGTAACCGGTACTTCAGACTAACCCTTCGTTCTGCAAAGGAAAATCTGGGAATACCTATATAAGCCTGTGGTAGGCTTTCTGTGGTAGGTATAAAAGAGGAATGGTCAGAACTTGGGAATCTTGCTGAGCTATATGAGATGTGAACAGTAGAAAGATGTGGGGTAGTGAAAGGACTCTACTAGTCCTTCCAACCTCCATGATGATATCACAAAAGAAATCAATGCAGTAAGCCTAAGGCATCTATTAACATCATCCACAGTTGAACTACTATTACAGGCAGTCCACCAGCCATAACTATATAAATCAGTTTCCATGAAAGTATAACACTTGTATAAACCACTATATTAATGAAATAGTATATTAATCTTTACTATTACACAGGAATAGTCCGAATTTTTTCCCTTGTCTTTAAAATTTAATATCTTAGTCATTTTATTATATATAAAGTTCAGGAAAGGGATATTTGTATGAAAGATTCAAAAATTTTTGAATATATAGTCTTTGTTGCTCAATCTGCCTCATTGGGCTAGATATCCCTAAAAAACATGAAATTTGCGCACATTGGATTTTGTTACAGACTGGATGGATTGTTCTAATCAAAATATGCCTTTCAATAATATTATGGTTTTGTGGCAAAAAGGCCTCTATTGATTTCTCTCATGAAGTTGTTTTTCTCGTTATGGAAGAAGGAAGTTGACCCCTTCGAAAGGATGCCCGAAGGCGGAAACTAAGGGCAGAATGCTGGCAGGGTCGAAACCACCACAGATACCACAGTTTTAAGAACCAGGTGTTCTTATTAAGTTATATATATAGATTGTTATAGACTATATAGTAATAAGATAAATTAAATATTATTAGTAATATGGTATGTATAATAATAAATTAAATTATCTATAGTAAGATCTTTCTTATAAATCTATTTATTATTGTTATGAATAACGACAAGGGGTCTTTATGATTGAATTTGTTGATGATGATATCTAGAATGAACAGGGAAGCGGAACCATGAGATATCCCACCAAAGATAGAACCATCTGGCAGAACCACCGACTACCATGCCGGAAGATCATCACCTTAAGTAATTTACTATATTTACTAGTCTTTATAATCCTAGTACTCTTATTAACTTATATATATAATAATAAATAAATAAGATTAAAGATAGTAGATATAGATTATGATTATTATAATAGATATATATATATATTAATAGTAATGATCAGAATAGTAAAATATACCTATAAAAGAAGATAAAATAGGCTCAGAACTATTAGACTTTATACTTCTTAATCAGCTGATCTATAGTAATATCAGATATATAGATCTATATATTATCTTTAAAGCTATATTGCATTAAATAGATAAGATACTATAAGACAAGAATCTAGTAGTAATTAGAAAAGATAATTTATTTATTATAAATCTTAGATATTTTCTATCTATTCTTATTAGAAAAAATACTTATTAATGATCTTAGATAACTTAGTAAAAATATAACTAAAGAAATTAAAACTAGTAAATATAGATTTTAACCATATAATAGATATAACTAGATAAATATACTATAAGTTAGATAGTATAAGATAGTATATATAGTATTTAATAGTTTCAATAATTTTAAGTAATTTGAATATACTACTAAGATAACTTCTTCTTAGTATATTCTATAATAGTAGAAAGTATATAATCATTATATAAATATAAATAGACTATATTATAAGAATAGAAACTAATTAGAATATAATAAATATCCCAGCTATATTTTATATATATAATAGTATATTTAAGTACTTCTTCTATACTATATTAAAAAGAGAAATCATATTTGATAATATTTATATATTTCTTCTATTACCACGATTATATACGAAAATGTTACAATTTAATTAAAATGTCGATTTTTCTCAGTTAAATCTTTATATAATTTTCTAAAAACAGGCTTAAAAAGTATAGCAAAATTCTATCTTTTATTCTATATTAAATTTATAGCCCTACTTACCTAAATAGATAAGATATTAAGAAAAAAGAGAAATTTTATATATATAAGCTTCATAGACTTTATTTTAATATTTTTAAGAAATTTAAAATTCTATAAATAGATTAGAATTCTTACTATAGTCTAATACTATTTTTAATCTAGAATCTATATTTTTTGATTTTTCTAGATTTCTTAAATATAAATTTTAGTATTTTCATACATAAATAATTTATTTTACTTTTATCTAGCTAACTTAGTAATTCTATTCTGTTAGAATTTCTATACTTTTAGCTCTAAATTATATAATTTTAATATCTTATCTATATATAAACTATTCTATAAACTACTCTGCTAATTATTCTACTAACTATTCTATAAGTAGTTCTATAAATAGTTCTATAAATAATTGTATAAATAGTTCTATAAGTAATCCTATAAGTAAGTCTATTAATAAGTCTACTAATAGTCTAATAAATAGCTCTATGAATAGCTTATAAATAGTTCTATAAATAGCCCTATCAACAGTCCTACTAACAGCTCTACTAATAGTTCTATAAGTAAGTCTATAAGAAATAATTCTACTACTAATAATTCTATAAGTAAGTTAATAAGAAATAGTTCTATTAATAGTTCTACAAGTGAATCTATAAGAAATAATTCTACTAATAATTCTATAAGTAAGTCTATAAGAAATAGTTCTATTGTTAGTTCTATAAATAAGTTTATAAGAAATAATTCTACTAATAACTTTATTAATAATTCTACTAATAGTTTTACTAATAGTTCTATAAGTAAATCTATAAGAAATAGCTCTACTAATAGTCCTGCGAGCAAGTCTGCAAGAAACAGTTCTGCTAACAGCCCTGCTAATAGTCCTGTCAATGGCTCTACAGCTGAGCGTGTAAGTGTGAGGCATTCTATAAAACAGCCCTATAAACAGCCCTGTTAATAGCCCTGTGAACAGCCCTGCCAATGGTCCTGCCAACAGCCCTGTAAGAAAGCCTGTGAGGTAGCCCACCCTTCCATATACCGAGCGTAGCGAGGGCCCAAAGCTTGTATATTATAATTATCTTACTATTATAATATACTAAGATAAAGAAATATCTTATATTATAATTATAGAATTTATTAACTCTATTTTATATATTTAGAGATAAATAGATCTTAATCTTAAGAAATTTTATATATTTTATAGAGTCTATATTAATAATCTTATTATTAAATTACTAGATTCTAATTAGTGTATTAAGTATCTATATTAAGTATTTAGATATCAATAAATAATAAATATTAAGCTAAAGCTAATAAAGACTTTTATAGTATTTCTATTAATATAGCTTCTAGAATAATATATAGATAGTCTAGAACTATCTACTTCCAAAGAAAAATTAATAGCTATCTATTTTCTATTATTTCTTATTATATTATTAGTCTTCGAATATTATTTTAGGATTATAAGCTATCTTAAATATAAAATACTATAATATACTACTTATAAATGATTACTTTAGAAGTAGAAAATTACTCTATTCAAAATCTTACTAAACTAGAAAAACTAAAGCTAAGAAATATACTTTTTTAAAATTTTATAGATACTAATATCTAAAGAGCTTACTATATTTAAGAATCTATAGATTAAGGTTAATAAGAGAATAGACTGGATACTAATATACTTCTAATCTTAATAATAACTTTATATTAATCTAGATATATCTAGAAAAAAATATAGTACTATCTTATATTATATTAATTTAAAGAAGATTTATATAAAAATCTTTAAACTATTTCTATATATCTAGATATAGTACTCTTTCTAAGTAGAATACTTATTATATATAAGTATAATTACTAATTAATAGAGATTAAAGTATCTTATCTTATATAAATAATTCATAAAATAAGATATTATCTTGAAGTTATATATATACTAATAATAGTATATATAGACTATACAAGTATAGTAAGTTGTATTTAGAAAATAATCTTTAGTATAATCATACTAGAATATCTTGATCTTTATTTTACTTATATATTCTAATTTATATAGGAATACTATCTTAAGATATACTATAAACTAGAAAGATAAATAATCTAGTAGATGTATTATTCTAACTTTTTACTAAAGATATATTATATATACTATTTAATCTTAATAATCTTCTAAAAGTAGATTAATAGTTTTCTAGAATAATAATATTCTAAGTCTACTAGATAGATAGTATATTTACTACTATAAGATAATAGAATATAATACGTCAATAATCTTATTAGTAGTTAAAGAATATATCTATATAGTCTATCTAGCAGATATATAAGTATCTAGTATTATCTAGATACTATGAAATAATTGTATAATAATTCTACTATATATTTTTAAAGATAGCTTACTCTATATACTTAAGAATATTATAGTTTTTCTAAATACTACTAAGCTAGTTTAAATATATTAAGAATTCTAATTATATATATCTTATTATCTTTTAAAGAATATTTTCTATATAATTTACAAGCCTTGGACCCTCGCTACGCTCGGTATATGGAAGGGTGGGCTGCCTCACATGCTTTCTTAAAGGGCCGTTGGCAGGGCCGTTGGCAGGGCTGTTCACAGGGCTGATGACAGGGCTGTTAATAGGGCTATTTTATAGACTGTCTCACACTTACGCGCTCGGCTGTAGGGCCATTGGTAGGACTATTAGCAGGGCTGCTAGCAGGGCTATTCCTCACAGACTTGCTCACAGTGCCGTTGGCAGGACTATTCCTTGTAGACTTACTTAGAGGACTATTAGTAGAGCTATTAGTAGGACTATTTCTTATAGATTTATTTATAGAACTATTAGTAGAACTATTAATAGGACTATTTCTTATAGATTTATTTATAAAACTATTAGTAGAGCTATTTCTTATAGACTTTCTTATAAATCTACTTATAGAACTGTTAGTAGATTTACTTAATAGATTTTCTTATAGAACTATTTATATAATTATTAGTATAGTTATTTCTTATAGATTTATTTATAAAACTATTAGTAGAACTATTAGTAGAACTATTTTTTATAGACTTATTTATGAAACTATTAATAGAACTTTTTCTTATAGACTTTTTTATAGACTTACTTATAAGATTATTAATAGACTTACTTATAGACTTTCTTATAAAGCTATTTAAATAACTATTAGTAGAACTATTTCTTATAGACTTACTTATA